TGAGGCAGATGAGACTGAGATGAAGATGATGAATAGACCCCTAGTACCCCATGATGAAAAGTATTAGTACTAGGAGGGTAACTAGAAGTCCTACCGTTTTCTTCGGAAGAGGACACATCATATCCCAACCACCAGCATGAAGATGATGATAGCCATGAAGGATAACCCCCGGCTAGTTGTTGTTCACTGTGTAGGTCTTCCGCAGGAGCTTCAGGCCCAGGACCCATTTCTTGATTATTTGCTTTGGGTGGTGTGCTTCCTGCAAAAGCCTGCTCAATGAAGGCAGCTACTTCTGCTCGCGAGGGTATGTCCTCATCGTCCCACGTTGCTCCTGGTGCCGTTCTCATATCTATGTCCTTACTGCCAAGACTAGGAGGAAATGGCGACGACTTCGCATTGGCTTTTGATCGGGTCGTTCCCTTCCGCAGTATCATTAGAGCTCAAAACAATTCATTTCTTGCCAATTTTGTCCCAATCCTAAGAAGGAAATAGGGAGAACTGACTTGTAGAAATGAAATATATTGAGCCTTAATATCAAATTCTTCGCTTTCGCCGTCTTCGGCCTTTCACCTACTTCGTCCTCTGATGACGGACAGGAAGGGACACTCGCTGCACCTTTGCTACCAGATCTTCTTCGCCTAGCCAACAATGACGAGGAGCTAAAGCTCAAGCTGCCGACTGAATCTGAACTCGTTGCAGCTTTTCGACCGTAGCTTCCTCCGTCTGCTCCGAAACTATAAGAGCCTGCTTCGGACGGAGCTCTCGTGCTTGCATTGGCGAGTATTCGAACTGACGTTCCTGGTGGTTTTATCTTCAGTAAGGGATCCTCGTCATCTCGTTCTAAATTCGATTTCGGAAGTAGATGAGGTGGTATTAATGTAGTTAGTTCTCCCGCTGACGAAGATTGTTTGTTCACTGTCCCTCTTCGAACAATTTGTCTTGCAGCTCTCTTACTAATCGGCAAGACTCCACGACCCATTGGTTTGTTGCTGACTGCTCCTGTCGAAGATGAAGACATCGTCGTTGAACTTGAACTAGATGATGAAGTAGCACAGCTCGGATTCACATCCAAGAGCGCGCCGAGCGTTTCATGCTCTTTCAGCTGTGGTGAGCGGTCCTTCGCCGGTGAGCTACTCACGTCCCCGATGCCAAGGCAGAGATTCCAAAACTCATCGTCTTCTGCAGTTGATTGATGCTTTTCAGTTGTTGTATCTAGGGTAGTTATTCCTGCAAGATATTCCTCAACCGAGTCCGAACATGGGCGGGGCCGCTCTCCTGCACTGAAGGTAGTAGATGAGGCACCACCTACAACTTCCGCTCCTCTCTGAGTCCAATGCTCGTCCACACTCGCTTCCCTTGATTTTGATGTTTTACCGTCTGCCCCACCCGCATCTGAACTAGAGTTGTCCATCAATGCCTTAGCTATAGTCAGATCCTCTGTACTAGTGGGTTCTATTCGGTCCAGACCGACAGGCATGGGGAAACCGGCGGGCGGCAGTACTACCGGCTCTTGGTTTATGAAGCCAAAATCTATTATCATTATCACACTTTTCTAGTAGTTATAAGAAAGGAACAACCATTAGTTCTTTTGCTTATTTTGGAACTGAACTTGAGCCATTAACTAGGAAGTACAGCACTTGAAGAACTGCGTTAGCACCAAATTTTGACAACAAGGTCGAAAGAAAATAGGGAAACTTGATAACGATAACAGATTTTCGTTTCATATGGTTCTTCTGGAGATCGGGTGCAGGTGGAGGTAAAACGCCTGCGAATTTTTCGCATACCAACACGTGTGGAGGAGGAGGAGCAGCAGGAACGAACGCATCTAGGACTTTGGGAATTAGAAGAGTTTGTATTTGATATCATGGGTGAAGCCAATCTAACTAGGAAAACTAAGAGAAATGAATGTAGGTAAATTGATTTGTATTCGATATTTGATGAATTTAGTTTATTTGTAGCCAGGTGTTGAACTCTGTCGAGACTCCTCCCATCTGTTGAGAGTTATAGGGCTAGAAAACTGAACGAGGAAAGTGCTGCGAGGTAACTGCTTAGGTCTGTCGAGGTCGTCGCTAGTCTGTCGCGCGTCTTCCACTAAGAGGATAAAGGTGGAGCGTAATTACGTAAGTATAGGCATACTTAGCGAGATACGTCATCTATACTAGAAATGTACGGTATGGCATTGACAACAAAAACCAACTCTATGCTTCAAATCTCACCAGGTGTTTTATGCTTTAACGAAAAACCAAAAACCTAACCCGAGGCCTTTCCTGCCTGCTTGGTACTGTTCGCCCCTTCTAAATTTATCGGTAAGATCGAAACCACTCGAGTAGGGAACTGAGTGAAATTCTTCGCCAGGTACTCCAGAAATAACAAAAAGCCAAACAGCTTTCTAGTTGTATGTGGAGGTTCTAAACGTAGTTCTAGTTCTACTCTAGTTTCGTCATACATCTACATCTACTTCGTCTTCTATAATCTACATCTACTTCTAGTTGCATCATAACTCCAATGCCGCTGTATGCATCGGGTCTAATCCCTTTAGGAAATCCTCCTCAGCGTTTGCGGTAGGATGAACTGCGTCTCCTGTTGCAGCACTAAATTCTTCAACGCTATCGCCTAAGAAGCACTCTTCTAAAAAGTTGGCAAAGTCGTCTTGATATTGCCGCTGCTGTTGATCGTGTTGATCTAGCAGACTTTCCAGCACATCCACAGGTTGCGATGTTTCTGTTTCTTCTTCTCTACTACTTCTATGTTCTTGTTCACGCCGACCACAACCAGAAGTACGACCACCTGTACAACGATTCTGATATGATCTTGTTCCACAACATACATCGGCCTCCACCTGCTCTACTTCTTGTTTAATACGGTCTTCACCGTCACGGCCACCACGTTCGTATCTGCGATACCCTTCCCGTCCACGTCTTTGGTCTCGATCTTCACGATCTCGGGGACCACACTCATATCCGCGATCACTACGATGGTATCTATGTCGATCTTCCCCTCGTCTTTCGTCCCTGTGCCTTTCATCTCGACCACGTCTATGTTCTCCTCTTCTACTTTCGTATTCGTCTCGATCCCGTCTATAACCTCTATGCTGGTAGCAGGAGCCATATGATAATGATCTCGATCCTGGTCCGTCTTCTTCTCGTCCGTGTGCAGTACCCTGCCCTCGTCCAGCTTGTTCATCAGTTGTATGTTCCTCTGCCACACCAACAGCATCATCATGTGGCTCATCTGCACCAGCATGTTCACGTAGTTCTTGATATCCACCGTGATGTCGTCCTTCTTCTAATTCGCTATGTTGACGACCAGTAGCAATGGTACCCTCTTGTTCTTGTTGTAGGTCTAGTTGTCCACCATATTCTTTGATTGCTTCTTGAACTTCTGGGCAATCCATAATGTCAATATTGCTCATATTCTTGGAATAATATTCGTGCCACAAGGCTAAGGGATCGACCGGATTTCTAGTGGTGGAAGAAGAGGCACATTCAGGATCCGGAGCGGTGGATGGACCTTGATAATTGGATAAATTCTTTGAGAATTTTTGCATGAGGATGAACACTGGATTTTTTCTACTTACTACTGCGGTTCTTGGTATGTAAATGTAAGAAGTACAAGTCAAAGAGAAGTAAGAAAATACCCGCGTCGAAATCTGGCATCTTGACCACTTTGCTTCCGCTGCCCCTGCCGCAAAAAGCAGAGACAAACGAACTAAACTCCTAAAAATCCAACAATCTATATTCTCATCTTGGATAAAAAGTAGAAACTATGAAAATGAATTTAAATAGCAAAAGTGAGGGCTGATTATGAACTTGTACTATGATCTCTTTCTTTATCGATGTATGAATACGAATTGAAGGGAGTGGTTTTTAAATTTACACAGCCATACTCCGTTGACGAGACACAACTACACACATGCAGCACGCGGCGCCTTCGTCCGGCTTATGGAACAATAATTTATTTCATCTCCGTATAGATCGATCCTACAACAAGGACATCAAGGTAGAAACAAAAGGAGCGGTGGAAAATTATCGTGGTTTGAAAGTTCATGTTCGCCTATGGAAAATAAAAATGGATCTCCGTCTGAATCTGTGTTCTCAAGAGGTGTTCTTGAATTAGCCATGGTGAAGTTCGAGGAGATCTTATGCTCCGAAACCAGCACTGGCCGTCTTTTATTCTACTTAAAATTATGATTGACACGATTATGAGAAAAGGGCGGGCTACATGTACTATATTGCCGTCGGTTTTCGAGGTTGTAAGTTTTTACAGACATCAAACAAAAAGTGATATTTATTCAATATCAAAAACACTAACACACGATTCAGAAATACGAATTATCTTCCAGAAGTTGTTCAACGAGAACAAATCTCGAAGCCCAGTATCAGAATCCTGGAAGCCAAGTAGAGGTACACCGGACGAGTAGAAGCAGGCAATACGTTCACGTGGTCCTCCGCACGCCGACAGCTCCCATGATGTTTGTTACTATACTTCCGCAGGATTTCTTCAAGCAATCGCAGGACCAGAGATCGACTCCAAAACAAGCAAAATCTAATAAACTTTCTAAAGTCAGAGATCCTACATACTCATACAACGACTATGCTTTTTTCTTTGCTAAAAGACCAGAAGTTCTTTGGAAGTGGAGCAGAAGAGGGATCGCTGATGTGAGACAAACAAGTCAAACCACGTAGTTTACGGCTGCCAGACTTAACAGCATGCCCATGTTGTTGCTTGTACATACGGATTCCACGCATGCAAGCATTCTGTAGAGAGGAACCTGCGTAAGGCCTCATAAACACCAGGGGGAATGGAGAATATGAGCATCATAACCTTAACAACTAGATTATGTACTTTCTCTCAAGAAAAACGTCTCTCTATAGCGCCTCCGAGGAGTCTCCACGCAAGACTGCTCTCCAGGCATCACTCTCTGAGCTCCGATCTCTCATACTTGATGTCTCCCTGCTTAGGACTCTCTGCGCAGCTTCTCTCGCATCTTCTGTCAACATCGCCCTCCGAGCTCTAACTCAATAACAATATAGCGGTTGATATCATCATCATGGTTCAACATGAAGGAAAATCTAGCATCTTGTTATGAGACGGGTAATTATACCCTCTAAGATTAGATGTAGGATTGATCTTCGCTTCGATGTGAGCAAGACAACTATTGACGTTCTCTTCTCTTATCGTTTCTGTTCCAAGGTTTCTGCGCGGTGACTGGCGGTAGTCTTTCTTGTAGAGGCTCCCTGTCCTTGTTAGTCAGGTGGTTAGTTATCGCCACTCGAGCTTTGATCTTTCGGATCTACTGGTGGACATCGTATTCATGATCTGATCAAGAAGAAGCATCTAACAACTATCGTTAAGCAACATGATCTCATGAATTCGGCATCGCATCCCATCTCCCCAAGCTCCTCGGCGGTTTCCTATAATCAAAAACCGTATTCTTATTCCCTCCATTCCGTTTTAAGAACCACTCTTGATGTGCCTTTGGTCTGTCTTCAGGTGCCATACTGGCAATTCGCCTGCAAGTCCCAATGTCTTCCACCGCATTGAAATAAGCGCCCGCCGTATAGCTCTTACTATCCGCATATTGCCACTTCATGTAGTATCGACAATCAACCAACTGCCTCAACTTAAACCAGGAATCGGCACAGCTGTAATCCTTTTCGTGCACTAAATGTTGGAAATCCGGAGTCCCGCCATACCAAGCAGCAAAATGTGGAAAATCGTCGGGGATAGCAGGAGTGCGTAATGTCATTTTCTGAGTCCCAATTTGTAGTTTACACGAAGAAAAGTCAGTTTTAGACCAAGGGCCTCGGTTTTTATTCTTATTCGGAAAAGGTACTTTGGATCTTATACGAAAATCACGTTGAACACAATCTCAAATTAGTTTTAAAGAAAGAAGATACGTTATTACGTTTGCCTTCAGTCTATAATTAATCAGAAGAAAAGATAGAAGATACGTCAATCAACATGATCTGTCAGTGTATTCATCAATCACGTGATGCGGAGGTCAGAGACAAACACTGGATGCTTGCGGAGATGCCCATGGCGAGCCTTCGCTAGAGCTAAAAGATCGTGAACAACACACCACTTTCCAAGATAAGGAGAGGCAGCGCTGTACAGTTCGAAGAATCGTTAAAATAGTAGCCGTCTTCGTTGTTGGCTCACTTGAAGTATGCAAGGAAGTCTGTTTCTTGATGTTCTCAAAGGTCACGACCTTCCTACATGTTGAGTAATCCTGTGGATTACACTGGAATCTTTCCGCCATGCTTGCAGCCCGATATGAGAAGTCCTGTGGATTACACTGGAATCTTTCCGCCTTCATTAGGACCTCCACACGAATAATCCTTCGGATTACACTGGAATCGTTCCGCGAGTTCCCTCTCGTTCTGCCGCAACAACACAAATTCTCGTAGATGCCGCACTAGTTGACCAGGTCGCCACCACTGTAGGTACAACTGCTTCCATTTGTGCAGCATTGTCCGCCTCAACCCGCTTACCATCGCAGCTCGTTGCACTGGCGTAATTGAGAAGTTCTCGTCTTTTTTCTTTCGCTTTCTTATCCTCGCGTCGATCACGTTTGATGCTCGCCAATATGCTGCATCCCTAATTCTGTCCAACAGGTCTTCTGCTAAGACATCTGCGTCTTGCGCACTCGCTTCAGGAGGTTCAGTCCAACATAGAAGTTCGTCTCCTGAGGATGCTGAGGACGATGTAGAGGGTGACAAAGTCGTGCCATACCTTCCAACGTGGTCTGCTTCAGAAGTAGAACAATTGTTCTTATCTTTAGCCGCATCGCCAGAAGAAAACATCTTCGCAAGAACGTTGTCCACGCTTTCAAAGATTAGAGGACAAAGAAAGGCGGGCTCTTTATGTCAAGAAGGGCAACAATGATTCGCTCACACGGCCAAGCTAAAAAAAAGAACTTGAACTAGAACTTGCGTCCTTCATCATAATTTGACTTTCGCCTCCGCCATTTCCTTTTGCTTCTTCGCCTGTGCGGCATCCGTTTCCCTAGACATCCTCAATTCTGCTGAGGCCTTACGACCTGCTACCAACTTTTCCAGGATTTCTTCCTTTTTCGCGACTTTTTTATCGTTCCTGCTGGGGTTAGAGAGGAACAGAAAGTACGTGTACAAGTATGTTCTAGCAGAAGTTTGTTGACGTTCTTGAGGTAAGCCAACAATCAATGTGATGATCGTTAATATGTTGAAGATCAAGATCAACAAGAAAGGAAAAACAAGAAGAGGTCATAATAAGAAGATCCGCCCTTGGCCACACTACTCCATTCCAGATGGTCGCTCGTGCTTGCCCTTGCTGTGCCCAACGCATGTACTCGCAATCCAGCTCATCCCAACTGACACCGTGACTATTCGAAACTCTCCACAACGTTTCAAGCCTTTGCTTGGCTGCCGCACTGGCACAGGGAGACGAGAGACTTCTCTGCTGGTCTAAAACGACGAAGGGGTCTTCGGTTCTTTTGGGCATAATTATATGAAGGTAGGGACTACTAGGGAGAGTCGGGTGCGGAAGATCTACGTTGAACATTATTTGTTGTCATTTATTATAATATCATTTCAGAAGTAGGTAGCTCTGTAGCTGCAGAAGATTTTTGTTTTTCATCCTGTCATAAGCAGAAGGTCTTGTTGTCATGACATGCGGTAACCGAGAGTAATCTCGAACTTCTGACCACTCTGTCGTGGCGGTCGACGTGCTGCAGCCAGCATCGTGACCCTTCGCTCCTCGGTTTCGATATGCAGTCAGTCTTGTCTGCAAGAAGTTTTCTGCTGTCAGTTGCTCTGGACGTTGGCGTCCATGCCGCAAAGCGGACAGAAGGCGCTTCTCTCGACTTATCTCGGCCATTTTCCTAAGCCATCGCTCTTTCGTGTACATGAGGCGAGGACGACGAGTGTCAGCAGGCCTTTCATCTTCATGAAGAAAACTAGATGATCCTTCTTCTTGTTCTTCTCCTGCTTTTCTCGCAGTAAGATAATCGCTGTCCTCACAAGAACTAAATCCTTCTTCTTGTTCTTCTGCTTTCCTCGCAGTAAGATAATCGCTGTCCTCACCAGAGTCAGACGTTTTCTCCTCTCCTGTGCTGGCAGCATCACTATTACTGGTTTCTACGGCATCTCCTCCAGACGAAGCGCGTTGCTCTTCGGTACTAGATGAGGGACTCGAAGTTGTGCTTTCCAGCACGTCACCATCTCCCTCCGCCTCTCCAGCCGTTTTTCTAATCGATGAATCTTCTTCAACATGATCACCTTCCTTTTCCTCTTTCTGCAATTTTAGTTGCAAAGCAGCTTGATCCATCAGGAACAGCCTATCCCGTTCTAACTGGGCAATCCTATACCTCGTGTGTCGATTCAGGTTTCGTCTAGCCCCAAAGAGCAGCTGTCGAGGTGGCCGCTGTGCTTCTATAGTTCCACCTTCTTTATCAAAAAGAGTCGCAGCAGCGTCTGACATCGGTGGGGTCGCCGCGACGAAAGCCATCACTTGCTGATTCAGGATATCGTCTTCCTTCTTGTACTCGGAAGCTGTAGTTGTTGGAGATGAGGTTGGAGTTGACGTCGTTTCCGAACTGGACGAGTTCTCGTCTTTCCGCTCCTTCTTCACTTGTGGTCTCGGAAACACCCTGTCACGGTTCTCCCTCCCTTCAGCTCCATCTACTTCCAGCTTTTTCTTGCCAGTATCACCAGTTATTTCGGCGTCATCGCTGAACCCTCTTTTAATACTCATCATGTGAGGACAAGAACCGGAGGTGACGTTGCCCACTCGAGATGATCCTCGCTGCAGCACAGTAGATGTTGACCAGGAGTGAGTACGAGCAGGAAGAATACTCGAAGAAGAACAAGCAGGAGAGAACCCCAATTTAAAACGCGCCATTTTATGCGATGCTTCTAGTATGATATTTGTGGTGGAGCAGACCTAACTAGAAAAAAGAAAGATCAGAGGGAGCGAGGAAGATAGAAAAGAGAAAAGGGTAATAGTCAAGTACGTTCCTATCTGCTAACACTAACGAAGCGCCGGCGCTATCGTCGTCCTGTCAGTCAGCCCCATAGGTCTCACCTCCGAGAGAGCCCCAATTTGAAAAGCGTCATGATGCTTCTAGTATCATATTCAAAAAGAACCTTGGTTTATCTATAACGCGATCAACATCTGGCTCTCGTCCTTGCTAGAACAGGACAAGGACAGTAAACAACTACTTCATAACTAATGGTGTTTTTAGCGAAGAAACGAGTTGTCCAATCGCAATGAGTCATAATTTCAAATACAATACAATTAATCTCGCTTTTTTTTTTTTTTGTATCGCGGGCGAGTTCCGATATATCTAAACCTACCTGCGTATTGTACAAGTGAGCTCAGATAAGTCCTCGCACAAAGTTCAGTGCAGACTGCCATATTATTTCAAAGCGAAGTCAGTGTCTACTCCCTGACAAGACAACCGCACGGTCTGCTTTTCCTGAACTTCGGCTTTCTCCAGAAAAAGCCAACTTCAACAAAAATTAAGACTAAGAGTGATCTGGCATGCGATTTTTGGCAGGCTTTGCTCCGCTTTTGCAAAAAGCAAGAGCAGGTATTCAGATGCAACTGTGTTCGTGTCTCTTTCTCGGCGAGGCAGGATTTATATTGATTGGCAAGAAATTCTAAAGGAAGAGTGAGAATGAATACAATGAAAAGAAAGAGAAGGGCAAGGCCTCGTGCAGCTAGACCTGGTCTAAAAAATCTTCTACTCTATGTAGTCGGTCCAGCAATAAAAGTCGCCGACTCGCCTGGAAAGGTAGCAGTATCTGTTTTTCTAACGCAATGGCAATGTCACATGATTACAACGACCTGCTTCAAACTTAGTCTTCATAAACTTATATATTATGCTAAAAAAATATTAGTATTACATGGCATAGTCTAAAAAGAGCTCACATAGAGCTTCATCTCGAGCAGCTTCTCGTCTGCTCTAGTAGCTTGTGTGTATCTCCAAAGCACAAAAATGACTCGGAATCAATTGCATGGAGAGGACACAAAAGCAACAAACGTAGTTTGTCCTTCGTGGTCTATTTTTGTTTCTCTATCTTCTACCTCTAGATAGTAGGTACCTAATTCTTTTAACGTGTTCATACTGTAAGTGTAACTACGGGCGAGCCGATTATTACCGTGTTGACTGTGTCTCTGTCTAGACTAATTCAGATGTATTACTTGTACAAGAACTAATACTACAAAAAATGGTTTCTTTTCTTCCCTGCCGAATCGATGACGTCGGCTCAACGCGCTTCCAGTTTCAGGAAGATAAGCAGCAAATATTAAACGTAGTATATGACAACATGATGATGGTCATGATCACTGTCGTGTAATTCGTTGATGTGCCCTGAAGGAATCATGTTGAAAGACAAAGAACTTGTTTTGACAGTACCTCTACGACACCAAGAATATCGTATGATTATAAGGAGAATTTCCTAGGTTGAATACTGGATCTGTATATGCCACTTTGACTTCTCTATTTCTAGTAAAACATCTTCACCAGGTCATCGAGCTGAGTGCTCCATCGCTTCCGATTCTTCCTATCATAGGCCGCTGGAGCAGAGGTAGACGTGAACCGTATCCCCGTCCGTGAATTTGAACAAGACGTTCGACTCTTATTAAAGCTCAGCCTTCAATGGTCACTGACTCTGAACGGAAGGGACCCCCTTCAAAGCTCTCCCCTTTCCCTTTGTTTTCCCCCCATCTTTCCTCAAGGGGTCGCCAGTGACCAACCCCAATGACCATTGAAAGCTGAGCCTTAATCTTACTATTTCGTCTACATCCATTCTTCACGACTGCGCTTTTCCATTCTTCACGATGATCTGCTTCCTTTTCATCGTCCTCCTGTTTTCCACCCTGTGAGCTTGGAATGACGAATCTCCAAGTCTTTTGTCTCTGTTTGCGAACTTCAGCAGCCAAGTCCCGTAATTGAGGATGATGTTCGGAATTGGAATCTTCAGCATGAAGATTGTTGTTGTTCTTCGTCTCTTGATCAAACAAATTTCCCCTGAGACAGGGCCGCAAACGCACAGGACAGCGGCCAGCATTATCTGGGATTAGCTCATCGTATTTGTGAGCGTATCCACGATAGTGCACTCGGACGAGCTGCTCTGCGTTTTTAGTGCTTGTGAGAACCTCAACAATATCAACAGGTCGCCACTTCATACTCCACAGACTAAGCGCTTCGAAGCCACCGCACAAGCGTGTAGGGTCTAGGAAGGAGATCTGCGGTCTCTTTGGTGTCCACATTCGTGTGCGAAGCATCACGTCCACGCAAGACGAACTGGCTGATGCTGACACTAATCCTGCTGATGCTCCTGTGGTAGTTGCTAGTCGTGTTGAAGAAGATGCAGGTGCAAGTCCTCCTCCTGTTGAAGATGATACGTTTCGCCCGATGATCTTACTTGACGGGAGAAGTGCATCTTGTACTTTGTCCAGCGTTGACGTGGTTGATCTTCCCTGATGTTTCAAAGGATCAAATGTAGTTGTAGTTGGTGTTCGTGAAGGTTGAGGCGGATAAAGCTGGTGCCTCATCATTCTCGTGCTTCGTCGTTGCAACGTGGCTGCAGCCCGTTCAAGCTCTTCGACGCCATTATTTCTAGAGACTGCAGTAGCTCTATCTATCCTCTGTCTTTCTCGAACTCGATCGACCTCACCACCTGAAGATGAGCACCTCCTTGTACTAGTAACATCAGTTGATCGATGACGTCGAGTTCTGCTCGACGATGCCCGCAGGCGGTTCAGCTTGCTCTTCATCACCGCGCTGCCTGATATCCGGTCCCCTGCTCCTTCTAACTCTACAAGCCGGTCCATCACAATGCGAGCAGCAGGATTCCCATCTAGAAGCCGCGAAAGGTGTTCGGCAGTCATTCCTGCGGTTGCCCCTGGTACTGCTAGAAGTGGCGTTAGACCTCCACTGTAGTGTGCACTACCTGTCGTGCCAGTGTTGAAGAGCCCGCTGTCCTGGCGAGTCGTTCGTCGATTTCTCTCTTCACCGACACCAAAAGAGCCATCCAGTGGTGACGGCTCTCTGCTAGTAGAGTTGTTCACGATCAGGCAACTACTATCCTCCCCAACAAACTTGAGACGGTGATTGGCTTCACTAGTATCGACTAGCTGTTCTTGTTGAGGTAACAACATGTTCATCTGGTGCTCTTGTTGCTGAAGTTTGTGCGCTTGTTGGAGATGCTGGTTCTGAAGATTGTTGCTGCCAGGAAGCGAAGAAGCTTGTCGTTGCAATTCCGCTAGCATCGCTAAGGCAGCGCAAAATCCCCCTATAGGTGTTGTGCTCGTGATGGCGCGGCTGTGACGATGTTGTCCCAACTTCCGAGATGGTGGCTCTTGAAAGTCATCTACAGCATGACCATGATGAAAACTCGTACTACAAGAGGAACTTGATGAGCTGCAGGAATATTGTGCTTCCTGCTCCCTGTCGTGAAACATAGGAGCTGTGCTGGGCATCGCACTTGCGGTCGTGGCATCAGAGAAACTATTCCCCGGTGGAGAAATGGCTACTTTCTCTAGAACAAAGTTCCACAATGCACGATGTTGCGCACACTCCGTTGGCGCCATCGCGTACACGGGTGATCGAGCGCAGCAGTCAGGAAGGAAATCGCCGTGGAAAAACCTGTCTACACGAGCTTTCACGAGTCTAAGCAAGCGTGGCAGGTCCGCGAGTCTTTCTCTTCTGCGCTTTTCTCGCGGCGTCAGCACTCGAGGGGTTGCGGAGGGTGGATGATGAAGACTACTAGACGTACTGCCAGAAGATGACGAACTACTTGTACAACGAGCTGCGCCGGAGCCTGTGCTGCAGGCACTCCTACTACTTGTAACTGGACCTCCAGGAGCAGAGACTGTTGATACACCTCCAGTTGTCGTCCTTCCTGTTCCATCCTGACTCAAGCTATTGACTCTGCTATTGACAACTCTGCTGCTGTCGGTATCGCGGTCGCCTGCTGGTGACCCGCGTGCGGTACTAGCCACCGTGGTCCTTGCACCCATCGCTTTATCGACATGATAGGCAGGAACCGCAGATGATCTTTCTTCAGACGGGCTAGAGGATGCTGAAAGGAGCTCCAGTGGTGGTATCGGAACAGGTGGGACGACTGGCCGTGGTTTTGTGATGGCATGATTACTCGAAGGCGCTACGACATCAACATTAATTTCAATGTCGTTCTCATTCGAAGATACTGCTAATGCTCCTGGCTCGCCGTGGTACTGTAGAAGCTCGACGTCTGCTGCACTGTTGTGGTTGTCTCGCGCTGCAATGCAACTGACTGTACTATGATGATGATCTATCGTACCCAAAGCGTTATTGAGATTTGCACCCCCAGGAGAAAGCAGCGCCCCTGTCGTGCTACTCGTTGCAGTACTAGAAGCTGCCGCGCTATGAAAGAAAAAAGTGCACTCACACTCAAAAAAAGTGGCTACTATTTTCCTACTTAAATCTTGAGTGTGAGTGCACTTTTTCGTTTCATACGTGCTAGATGCGGTCGCACATTCTTCAGCCGCTCCTCTCTCCAGATGCATCATCTCTTCAGCTTTCATTGCTGCGGCGATCACGCTCACCTGTGTTAATTTGCTACTGTGTTCCCTCAGGCCCTGACTCAGGCCCGCTGATGACGAGGAGGAGCTGCGAAGAGCACTCGACGCAACTGTAGTTGTTGCAGTTGTTACTGCTTCATCTTGATGTTGTTGCTGTTCCTGGAAGATCGCTTCGTCCTCGTGTCGTTTATGGTGCTCGTCGGGGTCACACGATATGGCAGATGACTCCGCCGGCTTCGTCTCCGCCTCTTTCACTGGGCTCTTCAGGTAGAAATCCGTGACAGCCACAAGAGGGCCCCGTGGTCCCTCTAGTGACGGGGAATCGACGTCATCCACATCGCTTCTATTTCTAATAGCTGTGGCGACACTCACACTTCTCATCTCCTTGTCACCCGTAATCATATCCGTCGCTGACGAAGAGGACACTACCTGGTGCGAGCTGCTTCTTCTTGATGTTGTGGTAGAACTCTGCTGCTGTCGTCTTTCAGGTCGCTCAACGTTCGCAGACAGCTGACGCGCAGAGGCTGATGCTCCTGTACGGTAGTAGGTGGATACTGACGACATATGCGAAACTGAAGAATGCCCCACGTAAACTTTCTGAGCCTTCTTTCTTCGCATTCCGTTGGTATCGGTGGTGTACATCGTGGAACCGCGACTGCTACCGCCGTAGGACCGAGGAGCCTGATGATTACTATCATGTGTTGCACGTGATCTGCCAGTGGCCGACTGCATCAAGTCGAGAGACAGAGTGCTCGCTCCTGCTGTCTCGGCTGGTGGGATATGCTCGAGTGGTGCCTCTCCTGAGGAACTTTTTTCCGTTGGATCTCCTCGCTTCCGCTTGTCCGTCCCTATTTGTTGTTCGTCTTTCTCACTCGTTGGCCGATGCGCTGCTGCCTGTACTGCATTCTGCTCTGCTTGTTTGCTCTCATGTTCTTTTCCAGCAAGAAGTAACACACCGTCGCCGCCACCGCCGGGCGTCTGCACGGTGGTAAGGCTCTCTAGATTGTCCTCCCAGAGACCATCCTTGGCGTGCAGAGATTTTGAGCTAGAAGTCGTTTTCTCTACTGTTTGACTTCCACCGACCTCAGCACCAGCCTGTGCTTGTCGTGGGGGCTGTGCTGTTTGGTTCACTACAACGTTTTCTTTGATTGAATTTTCATGCATCCTGCTCGGCTGCACGATTACTGCAGAAGTACCTACAACTTCTCGAAGCTCTTGGTGGGCTTTTTGCAATTCTAGCACAACAGGTTGAGACTCGTTCTCCAGCATAGGATCACTAGCCTGATGAAACTGTGGTAAAGGAACGCTCCGAGTAGCTGGTGAGGGTGCAACAGCTACCGGCGCTGGCTCAATAGGGCCGTGTTGCCGTCCATGATTTAGATTTTTCCCCTCGACCACTGGCGGTGGTGAAGCAGAAGCCGCGCGAGCTTCCCTTTGCCTTCCTTCCTCCTCAAACGCTCGCTCTTCGTGTTCCGCGGCGCGCAGAACCGCGCGCAGAAAGAGCACTGTCACTTCGTCCCACAGTCGCCCCGCTATGTCACGAAACAGCCCTTTCCGCCGGATCGTTCTTCGTAGCAGGTCTAGTGGCTCTACCAATGCTGTAAGCACGGTCTCCAAAGGCGAAGAAAGTCCAACTGCCATAGTACCACAAGCACTCCACTCATCCAAAAAATGAAGATCATGCATGGTTGTTCCATGTTCCCCTGCTTGTAAGTCTACTAAGTGCTGTTCTGGAGGCGTCCCAGCAGTACTACTATGATGTTGACGATGATCTATTACTAAAGAAGGTCCACCTGATGTTCCTACCCCGCTCGCACCACGCTGTTGCAACAACTGGTCCTCCTCCATGTGATCTCTGAAAAGCTCAGTTGGAGTCGTCGTTGCTGTGAGTCGACTCAATAAGTTGCGGCTACACGTGGTCGTCGTGCTTACCGCGGGTGCAGCCGCGCTATCTAGCGGCGACTGGAGGTCGTAAGATCCTCGCGTGTTCAACAAGCAATCTACGGATGTTGAAGGTCGATGCACGATACCCGAAGAAAGAGAACTTGCGCCACCAACACCTCCTGTTGCAATTCCATTAGCAGTCGTGCCTCCCGTTTGCATTCCAAAAGTTGAATGCGGTACACTGCTGCTGCTAGACGTGCACGCGCTTACATTTCTAGCGACAACAGCCGACGACGCTTCACCTCCTGCAGCATGAAGCTCCATTGCCATTCCCGAAGTAGAGCTACTATTCGAAGAACTCGAGCCATGCCCATTCAGGTATTGTATCATATTCAGTCTTCCCGATGCATCAGCGTCCTTCACCCATTGAGCTAGCGTAAGGCTTTCAAGTGGCTCTAGTTTCTTCGTGAACATCGAGAGAGTTTCCGACTCTAACTCTTTAGATAGATGCTGCAATGCGGTCACGGTAACGCCCACGAAAGACCCTCGATCTTCTACACCTGCAGGTGAGGTATTTTCCCTCAGTGTTGAAGAGGTTTCTGGACGATCTTCTCCAGGCAGATCTTCTCCAGGCACATGCTGGCTGTAGCGCTTGATTTTTGCCCCGTTCACCTTTCTAGTCGTGTCTTGTTCGGCAAACGCTCGTAAATCGCCTGACAGACTGTTCGAAGAACCTACTCTCTGACAGCCAAGACGGGGATGATCTAGCGAAATATCAATACCGCTACTTTGATGTCCTCTCCCACGCCGCGTCGGTCTTCGTTTCTTTAATGTTCGTCCCCATGCCTGCTCTCCGCCAATGTGACCTCCCTGTTGAAGTTGATGCGTATGAAAACTTGGATCTGCAGACATCTGGTGGCCGTTGTATTGGCTCAGGCTCAGATTGTTCTGCTCACTCACAATGAGTTGATGATGCCCCCAAGGACCGCCGTCAGTCGAAGTGCGAGTACACTGTAGTGCGTCGATATTCGGCTCTGGGACACAAGCAGGAGATGAGCGACTAGTCATTTCGTAGTGGTCATAGTCTCCGTCATCCTCACCAAATAACCCCGAAGACGTGATCATACTCCGGGATAGAGGCGTAGCAGCTCCTCCTGCACCTTCCACAGGTGATGGCAGGACTCCAGTTTCTCGTCCCTCGTCTTCTGGTCTTATCTGGAGATGTGAAGGCAAAAGGTGGTCATCATCTTCAGGACCCCCTTGATGATCACAATTAGGCTCATTTTGATTGTAGTAGGACAAATACTCATTTAAAGGTGCTTCCTGTTCTCGATTCCGCTGTCGTCCACGCTTCATGCGCTTTTTCATGTTGTCCCACAAATGTTGCTTCTTCTTAAGCCGACTTTGGGCTGCTTGCTGCAGGACACACGAGGCCGACGGAAACGGTTGCATTTCTCCTTTACTATTGGTCTTGTACATGCTGGCCGGAAACTGAGTGATGTCGTGTTGTAATTCATGGCTATGCTCTTGTTGAAGATGCCCAGGGCGCGAGCTGTAGCGCCCGCCAGGTTTAGAAGTACTCGATGAAGTTTTCGAACTCCCTCTACGGTTCTTTGTCGTATGTTTGCTCTTTCTTGTAGCCTTAGAAGCATGGTTGTGCTGCGACATCTCAGTAAAGTCGTCGGCTTTCGAAGCTGCATTGAATGTTTCGCCAGCGCGTGAAAGCGCCGAGCCCTGCCCTCCAGTCCCCGCGGCCTCTACCGCGGCTGAAAAAAGACCAGAAACAATACCGTTCAGCGTCGCGTAGGCAGACAGCGGCTGCTCATCATGCACTTCGTGCTGCCCTCCAATTGTTGTTCCAGGGCGACCGACAGACGCATCGTCAGGTGCGGCTAGTTCATCTTGATGACCCATGCTTTCTAGACGAGAGCCTCTACCTCTATGCTTACTCGCGGTGTGATGCTCAAGTCCTCGTGTTCTCCTGCTGCTGCTTCTCCTTCTTCTACCTCGCGATGGTTCTGCTTCATGAGGACGCATCAGCAAGTGGTCTTCTTCATCGCCTTGACCATGGTGTTGATGGAAACCATTATACAGCTGCTGCTCTCGTCCAAATGACCTGCTTGGTCGAGCAGTGCTTTCTCTTCTCCTTGTTGTCCGGTTCAAGTTCGTCCCGTAGAGCAGATGATTACTATTATCAACAATTCTCCGAGTACTTGCTCTCCTTCTAGTAGAAGTTCTCGGATCGTTGTAGTAGTCCATATTGCACCAAAGCAGATCCTCGTCCGGCCCTCGCGGTGGGTATACATCATCTTGTTGTTGCCCCTGAGCAAGATGTTGATGTCGACCGCTAGGGAGTGGTGGGCCAGGCGATGTCGACGTAGAAGCGGGACCAGAAGGATTAGAGGTTGCGACATTATACATTCTTCAGATCGTCGCCCCTGAAGACCCTTTCCCTACTGGAAAAATAGTCAAGTAGGATGGTAGTGAAGAATGCAATGTCGTGGTAAAAACTACCCTTAAAAGGAGGCACCAAATGCAAATGATTGCCATTCACTATCGCAGCACCAGTAGCAGTAGATGATAATAACGCTGCGGACGCACTCGTATATGCAACCGGCGATGCAGTTGTGCTTTTCATCCCCGCTAGAAGTTGAGACGTCCTGTAGTTTGGGAATTGGTTCTCCAGTGGTGCTACGTCTCCACCTCCTAAATCCCGTTCCCACTGACTAATGGTGATCACAGGACTTGAGCAGGAATGCTCCAACTTGTTACTTTTGTGATGTGATGACTTTCGACCCTGTTTGCTCCGTCTTCTAGATGATGAGATCGAGTAGGCGCCTCCTCCTCCATCACCTGCTGCGCCACCTCGTTTGGAACTTCGACGCTTGCTGCCTCTGGTACTCGACCTCCCAGGACCTACCCCTATTGAAGTAGCAGGTTCATCGCCTATCATACAACTAGGATCTTCATAGCTGGCGTCCTCGAGAGGACCTTCTACCAGAAAACGGGCATTCCCAGCACCACTATGTCTCCAAGTGCGAAAATGTCCTCTCCGCCGCTTGTGATGTTTCGTACTCTTCCTGCCGCTTACTGCAGCATCGTGGTCTCTTCTGCTTCTATTTCTAGAAGAAGTAGTGGGCAAATGATAAGCATCTCCTTCTAGGATAAGAACTCCAAGTTCATCTCCTTCATGATCAAAACCATGCTGGAGTTGATGATATTCTTCAACATCACTGTCCTCGGAGGCATCAAACGCTTCCAACAAAACAGCCTCTTTCTGCAGTGAACTGCTTGCGACGCGCGAGATATCATTGATACAGGCGACTAGAAGAAGCAGCCGGGATGCGTTCTTCTGCGTTTCGGGCGAGTACGAATGCAAGAGCGGTCTCAAGGATTCGGGGACGGCTGTGATAGGATCAGAAGGTAACAGGCGAGCTGAAGACGTCGCCCCCGAAGCAGCCGATGTGACGTTCATTTTTGATGTAGTCAAACTAGTTGCTCCAGTGCCACCAGCTTTTGATGAGAAGCTACAACCAGAGCAACTGCCATTCAGGTCACTACTTACATCGTTCTGTACAACTGGTCTTCCTGGAATATCGCCTATTGCAGCCAGACCACTTTTGCTGGCATTCAGGAGCCCTTCTAGGGCACCTGCAAAAGCATTACTTTGATGATCCTTCTGCTCTTTACATTTCTCCAACACCAAGTCACAATAGGAAGCTATAATCTGCGACAATGCGTGCACAACGAAGTCCTGTTGGCCGTAGAGCTGAAGTGCTCGATCGATCAACGAGAAAAGATCAACTGGTCCGCTCGTAAAGAGCAGGAAGTCGTCGTTGTAAAACTGATGTTGACCACCAGATTGCTGTACTTGAAGTGCATGTTGTGGATGCTGGGCTACAAGGGCACCCTGCGGGTTACTCTGCACACCGCCTGGAGATGGTGCTGGTGGATAGTTGAGATGCTGCTGAAGAAATTGATGGTGCTGATTCGGCAGCATAGGCGCAGCTTGCTGAGCCGATAGCATACCCCTAGCCGGTCCACGGGGAACACCGGGACAGCTATTACCGAAAATAGTGCTCCGCCTTCTGTTTTTGCTAGTCACACTATTGTAGTATATGGACTGTCTGCTCGTGGCTGACATACCGAGTCCAGCAACTCCTCCAGGTCCTGGATACAGAGCTGACGAACTACCGTGATTGCTTTGCCATGCGAGTGAAGGCCTAGGCGTGTGCCCGGATGATGAGCCTACTCCGTCAGGGGAAAGATTAGACGAGAGGAACGAGTGATGAATCGATGGGCAAAAATATGATGTTTTTATGTTGTAGAAACAGCGGTTAGGTGGAGATGTTGGAGGTATCTTCAGTATCACACCCTTGTTCAACATCGTCCATAAAATACACCGTTGGTCCCGCAGACCCGACTATCTGAATTTGCGCTACCATCTGCTTCAGCTGCGGCTGTAGCACTTCTTGAATCGTGCTTGTGCAAAGGTCTGTTAGGCTAGGCAAGAACGTGCGATAGTAATCGACGTCATGCACTAAGGAGCCTTCTGCCAGAGCTAATCCGTAGTTCTTCGCAAATTTTGCTAGGACTGTGATTCCCTGAACAGAGGCATGACTCAGAATCTGTTTTTTAGCTTGTTGTTGAGTCGACGGTTGTACTGCGGAAGTCGTGGAAGAGGAAGAGGAGGAGGACTTACATTTATTAGTTGTATTTTCGCCAAGAGTTTGTGTTTGTCTCTGTTCCTGCTCAGCAGAAGCCTTCCGAAACAATGCAGACAAGCGATCTAGCAAAAGGCACACACGCCGATGGATGTGCCACACGTACATTTCGGCCGCGAAAGTGCAACACTCAGGTGGGTCACGAGAGGACGTCGTCGTGGCCGAAGAATCTACTGTGTTTCGGAAAGACGCGGCTTCTCCGTTTACTGCTCTAGTAGTGTGTTCGCTAAGAAAACTAGAGATTGTACTTCTAAGACTCGGGGTACTGGCGTGTTGATCAGCGTCGATGTTGTAGGTGCTTGATGAAGCAGAAGGGCTGGCAGTACTTCCACTTCCTGCTTGACACGACTCACTAACCAAGCGCTGCAGTTCGAGGCATGGTCGTGTATTGACGAAGTCCTCCAACAAGACGAGTAATGACTCGACTGTAGGTGGTGTCATGTCCAGACTAACACTTGAACAACTTTGCTCGCGGGATAAACCAGAAACTAGACTGTTTTCGTGTTGATCAGAAGTATGGATGGAAGAATAAGCTGGTCCAACATTGCCATTCAAAGTCGTTCTTCCACCCATGACGCTATCCCTCATCTGTAAATGGTCAACTTGGTGACTAGCCCTTCCGTTGCCCGCTGTAACAGTGCTGGACCTTCGTGGTAATCTAGAGAAGTCGGGGCTTGCTGCGGTACTGCCAGCGCCTGGAGGGAGAAGATGCTGATGTTGGCTGCCAGATGGAAGCAAATGCGATACTCGGATGAAAGACTGCAGTCGCTGAGGCATCACGACTGAACCCCGTAAATGTCTGGCACTGCGACGTGCCGGGCCGGGAGGAAATGTTAGACAAAGGCAGAGGGTCATTGGTGTATACCGTGATCAACCACTATGGTAATTTGTTTTCGATCTTCATCTCAAACTCAACCACCATTTTTAAGTTTCACTCATAAAAACAAATGATCTTGCCCCTGATGCATTTCCTGTTCATGCTGTCCTCTCCCCAAAGCCGTACTAGACAGCAACTGACCCGCGCCACCGTTTGCAGCCTCTTCTTCAGAAGCCGTTTTCACAGCCTCGATCAGTGCGTCGACCATCTCTTGTTCCGACAAAGCGAAGATGAACTCATCAATATCGGTCTTGCCCATCAAATGTCTTGGAAGTTGCCCAGATCTTCGCTGGTTCGTAAAATTAGAGGAAGCAGAAGATGCTGAAGTAGTGAAATTAGAAGCACCATTTCCGAAACTCTTGCGTTGATGTCGGAACATGTAACCAGAGTGTTCCACTATGCAACGTGCACAGCATTGCGCAAAGACGAGTGAGATCATGCGCCCAAGCTCCTCGTACATCTTATGCGTGTAGCGAGGCTGAAAATTGATGTTGATCATCGTAGGAGAACTACTTTGGAGAAGTTTTCGATTTCGTTTACTTAAGTACAACTCGAAAATGTTGTTAAAAACATAATAAACAAGTCAAAGTGGACAACAAGGTAGTAGATAGAAGACTTCATCATTATCATGTCCCTTTATCTTTTCTTGCAAATGTTAGGAAAGTACCTTCTGCTCCCCCTCCCCCTTCTCATCATCCGTTAAGTCCTGCAACGATGCAGCGCTGAAAAGACAGTCGAAGATGCCAGTGGTCTGTGGCACGACAAGCCAATCTGCCAGCCCATTAGAAACCTCGTCAAGATCTCGTTTGCGAGTGCCTCTCGTGGACTCGGTCGGAAGAGAGGCTGAAGAAGCTGGGAAAACCTGAAGTGGTGGAGTGGGCATCACTGTCTGCACGATCTCAAGTGGTGAAGTGGTCAATTCTGTATGAAGTGGTGAAGACATGAGGTCAACCTATGAACTACGCAGGAGGATTTGCAGTGCTCATGACTGTCTGTGCACTTCTGATTCTGTCGCGGCTAGCGTCGATTATGAGCATTATAATTAGACAATGACAAAACTACAGAGCGAAGATGAAGAAGTGACACGGAAAAAAATCAAGTTACCACATTCTCCGGATCAAACGATAGAAGTTCTTCGGTCGGCTGCAGCGGAACTTGGTCGAACGTGTGGTCGACGCTGAAAACTTCACTGCTCTTTCCATCCCCTTGGTTACTCATATCTTGCTCGGGTCTCGTAACCCCAGTTGCTGGCTCACTATTCAGCATACCCGTGACGAGAGCGTAGGCTTCCGCCTCTAAACGGGCGGCCGGAGGATAGTCGGCCAAAGCGGTGCTGCTATAGGGATCGTGTGCGGAAGACCCTCCAGCTCCCGTTAAGCAAATGGCTGTTGGTTGGTTGTTCGCGGCGTTGTCATTTTGGTGTCCCTTTACAACCGCAGTGAGGAGGGCTGCCCATTCTTTCAAGCCTGTCTGCCGGCTTGAGAAAACGCGCACTTTACCGGATGCCTGGTGAGGTAGGACTAAGAGCAATCAGGTCGGTGTACAACAATAACTACTTATGTGAGCACGGCCCCCCGCCTCTTCAAGGTTTCCTGATCGTACTTAAGCACAAAATGATAACAAGCCAAAATGCCAGAAATTTCTGAAACCAGGGGGAGCTTATATATAATTGCAACAAATCGATACAGGGGGCCTTTGCTTTTCTTCGCGCGAAACGTCTGCGGCGCGGTTGCTGAATCTCTTGCGAGCCCAGGCAGACCCAGCGAGCCCCCAAAGGAATACATGTGGCAAGTTGCGCTCCCGGCCGTCCCTCCAAAGGCGCGCAGGCGGAGACAAGGCGGAGGGCCAGGGCCCCTTGACTCACATGGCCAACAACTATATGCGCGCCCGCGGCTAACGAGTAAGAAAGCAACCCACACAAAAACGCTGGCCCCTGGCCCTGACATTGTCTCCTTGCTGTGGAGCCTTAGCTTTCCGCCAGACCCTCCGAAGCCATAGAAAGCCAGGCCCGCCCGAGCAAGCTGCAGAGCCACTCACACCTTTGAAGAAAAGGAGAAGCCACAATCACCAAGCCCCGCAAGAGCCTCAAAGACTCAGCGCGCAGAATGGGCGCCCGACTGACAAAGCCCGTAAGCCACAAGAACGGACTGCCACAACAAGTCCACAGCGAGCCCAAGCACAAAACGACGCGCACGCGGACCGAATGAATCACAACCCGAAGAGCGAGGCGACAGCTTTACGGCACTCCCCGCCAGCGCCAACCGATCCCGCCGCCCCTCGTGCGTCGCTGACCTGCTAGCACTCACGCCAGCGGCAACGCCTCCAAGGGAGCACGCTACTCCCATTGGGTTCAGTTGCGGCCGGAGTTGCGGCCGGATCATTATCTTACCCGAAGACCACCACACCAGCAGGCAGCTGCTTCCCACGCAACTCAGCCCGCCAGCAAAATATCGGCGCGGGAGTTTCGGCGCAAGTTGCTCCCTCTGGCTTCGTCTTGTTTTCACAACGTTGCGCGGCACTTCGCGGCTTCATCCGTTTCCCGCTTCAACTTTGCCACCCGCCACCCATATATATCCACTCGCTTCATGGCGCTCGGCCGCGAAGAAGACCAGTTGAAGCCAGGCCCCACCTGCCAAACACAGAGCCCACCACGCTCAGCGCTCTACCAAAGTACCCGCCTGAGTCGACCAAACCGCTCGAGGCGGCTTTTTGGTTTGGGCTTCCAATCGGCGCGATTTTTTGTTGTTTTTTCGGCCTGGAATGATTTCGCTACGCTTACACGCGTAAGGCAGTGCCAGCCGTGCCCCCACTTGCACCCCGAGCCTCCGCAGCAATGTGCCCAAAGCAAAGGCATGCGCCTCCCCTCGAACGACAGAGAGCTCCCCGCTTCCTCTTTTTTGTTGGCGCTTTTGCACCCGACCACACTGCCGCACCGAGCGCCCACGGCGCGCACCCCATGGACAATTGCGCGGACACTCGGAGAAAGGCCGCCACTTCCTGGCTGTGTTGGTTCCTGTCCTTGCCGCATGAATCGGCCGCACTGCTTGGAGTCATGCCCAAAGGCTCCCGGGGGTGTCCTCGTCGCCACACACTCCCCCGGGAAAGCTCTCAGGGTGTTCGCGCTGTTCAGTTGTGCCAGAGGTGCGGGCGATGCCCTTGCCACTTTCTCGCCGGGGCCCCGTTTCTCTGTTCACTCTTCCCCGGGGGTTTAATGGTTCGCCACGTCTGCGCCGAGCAAGGGGCGGCGGGTTCAGATGCTTCAGCATACCGAGCAGCGCTGCCCTGCCTTCCACAAATCGGCCCCCAGGCTTGTCGCCCGGAGCAATGAGCCAGGCGGCCCGGAATTGCTTCCGGGGGCGTGAAGCCTTGAACTGCATCAGCTGCGCGCGCAATGTTGGCCACTGCGGCATCTTTTAGGCTATTGCCGGAGGGGATCACCGTCGGGGCCGGATCTGCTGCGCCCTCGCTCCTCGCTTGTAGTTCGCCGATAGCCCCAAGAGATTAGCCCTCCGCGGGTCTGCCGCTGCCCTGCGCGCTTCTTTGTTTTGCTTGGCTTCCTTTTCATTCTCGCAAGGTTTACGGTCAGCCTAAGCGCGTCCAGTCCATCGCTGGGGCAGGTCACGGGTGAAGAAGCAGCGAAGCCAGACAGACTGACGGACTCTAGGTCTGCCTGCCTTGAGCTGCGTGCCCGTTGTCAAGCGGCGCGCCGCCGTCCTCCAGCAGCCACGCAAGACGCCGCACTCCTCTCACTGCGAAGAGTGGAAGCAGCGGCCGAAACACAAAGCAAAAGTATCAGAGATATAATCTTTAAAGTGCCTGATCCGTAATAGTAAGGCTTCGCGAGGGTTTATCGTGTGATTTCTCGTATGCGATCGCTGCTCGCATCAGATTAATTCGCTTGACCTTCCCTTTCTGTGCATCTCCAGGTCGACAATAGAATCTGAGAGCAGTCAAAAGTCATAGCATGTCAATCAGCCATGTCAAAATGGATTGTGAGCATCGCTTTCACTAATATGATCTCTTCCCAGAAATGCTGTTGCTCACAGCTTTTCTAACAATCATTTGCCAGTAGGGAAAAGCCTAACAATATAGGGAAAGCTAACGGGTCGCATTACTTATGTTGCTTTTCTAATAATCATAAGCACAGGTAATTGTCGAAGACTCAGACTAAGAATCCGTATTAATACAAGAACTCACTGCTTGCAGGAAATATGTGTGACCATGCGTGTCCAAGTTGTCTGCATAGAAATTGCGGCACACGGATAAGCGAGATGTCACCGGCAACGACACCAACAGCAAGACAGTTATTATCTTAGAATGAGACGAGCACGAGCAGCAAGCACCAGAAACTTCACACCGCAAGAAGTTACCATGGTCCATGTTTTTGTTACGCCTAGATTTAGATACATTCACATCCTCATCGATTCAGGATTCACATTCTAGCAGAAGAAAACATAACTTTCCTCCGCAAACCCACTATCAAATCCTAGAGTGGCGCAGAGGCTACGACGCTCTTCCACCCCTCCCCAAGGTTTTTTCGGCAACATAGCCAACCAAGATACCATGGGGAGGGGTGGAGATTCCCAAAAAGCAGGTTCCGTTGACGTCATTTTGTTGCTAGTATGACCTTTTAAATGTTCTTGTTGCTCCACAGATGGATGAGGCTGATGACGAGAGACAGAGGAGCAGGGTGCTGGTTAGAATTTATTAGATAAAGACAAAGACAGCGGCAATGGCAGTCGTAGTTGTAGCTGTAGGTATTCTTGAAATGTGAAGACAGTGCAACAATGCTCGCGTCTACTACACGAGAATCAGTACTACTATCTTACCTCTATCTACTAACCTCTGCTAACGCTATTTCATCGAACAAGACGATTCACTTAGGATGCGATAGGAATTGGCTCACGACCTACAATTCATTCTCATTGTGAAAACTACTTATTTGAACAAGACTAGTACTAGTTGTAGTACTACTTTATCCACCATCCGAACCATGTTCTACTAAAACTTCTATGTTCATGATTGAAGATCAAGATTGTTATCCGTCTTCTAGTTATTTGTATTTGTAGTTCAGCGACGAGGATGTTGATTGGTAAATTTACCATCCTCAGGAATTTATCTGTTTCTGTTGGCCCCGAGAAAATAATCTAAGACATACAACCAATTACTTTGACTTCTGACTGAAGTTGTTGGCTTATGATTACGTGAAACTACTATCATTAATATGAACTACTTACCGCCTGCGGGTAGTAAGTAATATTAGACTATCGCTATCCTTATCATCATTCAAATCGTCTGAAAAGAACTATCTCTCCTCCACCTCTCCATGCTCCCTATAATGTTGGAGTAAGTTAAATTTGATGTCAATGATCATGAAAATATGCACAGAGCAAGTCACTCGTATCACTCCGTACTTCGTTGATGTAGTTGATTGTACCAACTACATATTGGTCACCGAGTTGCACGAGTAGGACTAATTGTAGTTATGTAAGTAATACTCCAAGTGGTATATTCTCTCGACCAATTACGCTCTCTACCGATGCTTCACTAGTGGGTGATTTGTCAACAATGATCTTTGAAACTGCTGATGGTGAGCTTTCCGTGCACTGCTGCCGTGCTGTGCTGAATCTGGAACCATCTGATGATGCTGCACTAGCTATGTGTCGGCAAAATGAAAATCTGACTTCTCATGTAAAAAATGATACACCTCGTTCGCGTTGGAGATATATGCGGATTCGTTCACTCAGAGTCGTGAATGATTCTATCTCAACAAACATTTGCTCAAGTACAACTTCAAAAACTTCTTACTGGTAGATCCGCATTTCATCTTCCAATTCAACATTACGCGCAGATGTCTTCGTACCCTCTCCGGCAATGCGTCCTACTAGAGTACAGTCCTTCTCGTAATCCGGCGACAAGTCCCTCAATCTCCCTAGTAGCGTCTCTGCCTTGCAGATATTTCCGGCAAAATCATTGCAGTATTTCGTCTTCAGCACTTGTCCTGCGTAAATGACGCGAGCGAGACCGTCACTGGTGAATTCGAAATTGATGTAGCTGGCGAAAGGAGGCCAGACCCATTCGGTTTCCACTTCAGCTTCGAAGGCTCCGAGAAGAGGAGCTAGGGGACCCGTGTCGTGGCCTGTCGTGGGGTAATTGCGTGGGAATGGAAGTAGACCAGAAAATTCTCAAAAGTCAGAAAGGACTCACACAAAAAAAAACATTTGAGCTTGCACATCACAACCACATCACCTTGATACTTCTAAGTAGTTCGAGAAGAAGCTGAGACAGCAATATTCTCAGTATCTTCACTAGCAGTACTAAGTAGTACCACTATAAAGCAAGAAATTCTTTTCCTTTTTTGTTTCCAAGTCTCCTAAGACTTGCGTCATCAACGGTCCTACTCGTTGTTTTGCGTGTCTCGCGTTCAGCCCAAAGTACACTGGCAAATAAGAAAACGCTTTCTCCAATAGCGTATCTGAAAAAGGTGTCTCAGCTGGCGTTGTTCTTCCCACCGTAGAACATCTGTGGCTGAAAACGCAGTCTCCCACCGAAAACAATCCGTAATCTTTCCCCAATCCCAAAGGTCGTCCTTGAATGACGTCAGCTTGAAGGCCGGCTTCTATTAGAGATCACGACCCTAAAAATCCGTCTGATCTTGAGAAGAACCAATCATCCTGGCCTCCTTTTCAAGAACTTGAAAAGCGAGCCCCTTCAGGATGCTTCCCAGGATGGATTAAGGGAAGCCTTAACTCTAGCTCTGGTCGGACCTCTTTGTCCCATTTGTCGGAGAGTTTTTTTACGGAAGGTGACTTCTCCCAGTACTCTGCCTCTAATTCGCCCATCCTTGGACACACATGCACGTTGGGCTGAATAGTGCTGTAAAGTTGATCGTCCATGTGGACCCGGAAATTGGCCATGTTAGATGAGGAACCTTGTCCTCCACCACGCTCTATTATTCGTGAAACTAGAGTTTCTGCGGAACGCAAGGTGCGGAAAGATGCGTCGACGTCACTACGGATGTACCTGTATAATTGTGAAAATATTAAGAAGGAACATCACGCTGCAGTGCAGCTCAGAAGTGGATGGTAGTGAAGTTGTGACCTATAATCTGTTCCTAGGCAGCAGATTTGGAACTTTTTCGTCACAGCATGTCAGGAGTACCATTTTTCTCCCGCAGAACTCGTGCTCTCCACCCCATCTTCCTCCGAACCCGAGTTAAAGACTTTCGGGTAAGCCTCGAAGAATCGGTCTCCATTATTCCTGTGCATCGCATAACCATCTGGTGTCATCTGACCCAAGCCACACGTTCCATCCCAGTTGTTTCTCGGTGTTGTAGCCGTCTTGCCTTCGTGCCCTTCTCTTGCGTTCGTGCCTTCAGCAAAGGCAATAGCCCATGGCACTTGGCGTTCCTTTTCTCCTGTAGTGGAAATCGAGTCGTGTCCAGCAGAGCAGTCGAATCGAACGGTGTCGTTTTTCGGGAGATGAAGAAAGGGTGAAGTAGAACTAGAAGTAGGATGTTGCTTGTTGTGGGAAGGAAAAGGATCTTATCCATCCTCTAGTAATACTTGTATTAGGACCACGCTAGGATATTATTCTTGTAGACACACGTACTACTTATTTGTATTTCTCTGTGCGTCTATAATCTATAATCTGCATTTCAAACATCATCTGAACATAACAGCATCTCCCCTTCGCTGAATACTATTGCATTTCAAACATCATCTCAACATAACAGCATCTCCCCTTCGCCGAATACTGATCGCCCCCGCACATAATCCGCGCACCGTGACGAATGAAGCTGACTACTCGTACGACTTTCCCTAGGAAATCCTTGTCGTTAGAAGAACTAAGCGAAGTCCGTCTTCAGGAGCATCCTGGGCCCCCTTTTGCCTCTAAAAACGGGTGGGCCAAGATGCCTCTAAAGATGGAAGATTTTTTGTTTTGAGTCTTAATGTTGGGAGAGTCTGGTATCGGACCCCAATCCCTGTTTGCATTACAGTACTTTCCCACTATCTTCGGCACAGAGACTGGCTTCAGGAGTATAGATTCATCTGATGCTTCTTGTTGGGTGACAAGTAATGACGCGGTGCCATTGGACGAGGGTCCCTCGGAAGAAATCCATTTTCGAACTGCTGCGCCAGTCGTAGAAGCTGGACTAGCTATCGCCGTAGTGGAGCAGAAAAGGAACAGAGCGACCAGAGCAGGCGTGGCAGCGAATGCCCGTGGGCGAACGACGAGGACCATTTTCTTCCTCTTTGATGCCGTGCTGCGTAAATGATGTCTTTACTGTAGTGGATAAATCGACGAGCGTTCGATCTCGGATGATCAAGGTCATTCAAATCAGAATGAAAATGGAAAAAAGCAAACTGGTCTTCTAAAAATGCTGCTGGATCCTCCTAAAAACTTTTTAAATTTTCCGTCAGGCAACATGACGATGGAATCATTTCCCGGAATATAATGAGGAATGCTGCGCCAGATCAACTGCACGTCTTACCGATTAACTCTCATCCTTCTTGATATGCTTTCGCCGCTGACGTTTCCTAGTAGTGCTACTTTCAGTAGCTTCTAGTCGTCTTGATGAGGATGATTCCTAGTGCATGTTCCTTCTCACCTCCTTGAAACAAGGACGAAGCCGACTTACATTTAAATTTCGTCTAAAAATCTCAGAGATAACTTGAACAAAATATCCAGTGGTTTTTGTACTTCCCATACACAGCGTGATTGATACTCGGGTGTCTATTAGGCTGTATACATCACTATCTACATCAGTCCTCTTTGGCTTGTTTGGGAATCTTTTACATGCATACAGGGATCGGAATTTCATTGGGAATTAACGCTTAGACTTAAGACACGAACCAGTTATAACAGAGTATGAATAATGAAACGATTTCTCCACGATAAGAATCATTGATTTTATCGGTTTTGCATTTCTTGTAAAACACCACATCACAACATCTTGCTCTACTAGTAGTGCTCGGCTTTTACTTTCATATAACATCTAAAATAAATGCCTAAATCATATTAGTACCTCGATCATCGAAATAGATTAAGATTCATCTTGTTTATACTATAACATTTGTAAGATTTTCGCGCAAATTTCGATATAGATTTTTTCTCAACATAGTGATGTCCTGAAGCATCAACGAGTGCTCCGCTGCCGCTCCCGGAAGCAGTGCCGATTATTCAGCAATAGCATGTAGCCCTTTATTTTTTCCTTGATTTAGTGTAGTTTGTCCATCAATCATGATTCAGCGTTATTTAGATTTAGCTAATGGATTGTCGTCTAGTTTGTTCTTTAGATTCATCGAAGTCGAAGATTGTCATGATGACTCAATCAAAGAGATACTGAAGATAAGAGGTTGTGCCCGAACTAGAGCAGCAGGAACTTGTTCTCACTTTCCTTGTCTCCGAGAACTTCTACTTTGGTAAGCATCTAGTTTTCAGTCGTCTCGACGACCATAGACAACAGCGTCTCCATGGCGTCAATCTCCTGCTCAACTAGCGCGTCTCCCGTTTTCGCTGGCTCATAGGTTTCACCGGAACCGGTGCCGGTCATTGATTTCTGTGGGGGGGGACGATGATCAGGATCAGGATGCGAAAAGGAGTTTCTCTTATGTTGGAAGGACCTGCAATCATCTCAAAGAACTAGGAGATGAAACTGAGCAAAAATAACAAGAACAACAAATTTCACATCTTCTTCAAAAAATCTCAGTATAACTAAGTAGTAAGTACCCTCAAATTCGGGCTCAATTTCAGACTGGTAACGCCACCGCGGTCATCACCGACGATCAGGATTGGACTAGAGCTGGCAAAGGAAAGGTGGGTGCACTTTGCTTTCGCTACCACCTTCTGCCAGCAGAGGGCTCCGTTTCTATTGATACTCAAGTCGTAGACGTGTGTCACCCCGTCTGATGTGATTGCTGCGAAGACGGTGCCTGGGATTGTGGTGTGCAAAGGATGTGAAGGCTTTGCTAGTGTGCTGTGGAGACGCAAAAAGAGCAAGTAGGAGACAAGAAGAGGGAAAAAGAAAGTAGAATGTCATCATGCTCAAAAATTATAGCAGTTGATGTTCTTGACCTTTTCCAAAATATTGATAATCAGAAGGTAAAAATCGACGACGTAAGTCTAAGTACTGCTATATGGCGCCCACGCGACATCTCCTACTTGCTGCGCTAAATCGAAGGACATTATTGGCGTCTTCACGTTGTGGTCCCACAGTTTGACTGTCCAATCGGCACTCGAGCTGATGAAGATATTGGCATGGAAGTGGTTCCATCGGACAGAGTAGACTGCCATTGAATGCCCTTCGTAGGTGTCGAGGTATTGACCTGAGGGATTTTGGGGGTGGAGGTTAAGTTTGTTGCTAGATGAGCATGAACGATCTACGAGAGGATGTGAACGTGTGGTCTTAGTGCCACTTCGAGAAAGCTGCGTAAACATTCGACGCCGCGAGTAGAAGCAGCAATATTTATAGACAAGTACCGCTGTATGATTTCGAGCACTTGTGAATTCGTCCCTCTTCTGTTCCGATGAGGAACAAGTCCTCGTTCGTCTTATGGAAGTCAAAGCAAAGTCCGCCTGCTAGTCCTGTAAGGCCTGTGTCCTCCTCTTCACCTGGTGGTGGTAATGATGGAGATCAACAAACAATGTGTACAACTACTTACATGCATAGATATTAACGGATCGAATTATCAAGATCTTCAATCAAAATTTTTCAATGATGCAACGTATAATTGTGAAACAAGCATTAGACCCACAACAAGTAGACATGTACTTTCTTATTCCATGCATATTAGATATTACACAAGCAAGATGTACTTCTAGTTGAAACTCAATGTACAACTTACAAACAAGGTGGTAATGATAGATATTACACAAACAAGATGTACTTCTAGTTGATGGAGATCAACAAACAAGATGTAGTACCTGAATGCAGCTTCAGAGCCATCAACTCTTCGCTCTCAAGCTTGTCTTTCATGAGGAGCCAGATTGTAACTCGCCCATCCGCTGAGATGGAGTAGAAGCTAAGGGTTCCCTCTGAACTGGTGTTCCATCGCACTTCCCAGACTGTGTAGAAGTTTTTTTGTTGGGTAGACTGTGTAGAGGTTTTTTTGTTCTTGGGTATGACAATTTTTAGGTGCAAAGTTTATTTGCACCAGGAAGAGGACGAAGGAGTTGTAGAGGTTCTTGTCTTTGTGCAAAGTTTATTTGCACCAGGAAGAGGACGAAGGAGTTGTAGAAGAAGTTCTTGTGGTCTTTCCATCTACAGAATATAGATGATATGAAAATCTTTTTTGTAGTCCTGACGAACGGTGCGAAGAGGGAATCCTAACAGAAACCCCGCGTACCTGGATCCGTATGTTTGTTTGTCCTGATGGTGCTTGCGTAGACTGGCTTTTTTGTCTTTCCTCTAACGTCATACACCATCACTGTTCCGTCGTAGAGGCCTACTGCCAATAGTGCCGCTCTCTCTGGATGCCAGTCTAGACTGCAAACTCCAGACTCGGTGTTGAATATGTATCTGGGGATGAGGAGGTTGGAAGGGCGTTGCTGGTGATTCCTCTTAGTCAAGGAGAAAATGAGTGAAACGGCGCCTCGGAAAGCCGGGGATGCGTAACCTACAACACCAACCTCAAATCTTCAAAAACAAAAAGTAGAGGTCAAACTGAATTATCTGAAATCAGTTTTAGTACTCTGGAAACTTCGTGTTCTTCAGACTATAGCAGCAGATGCAGCCGCTTCCTTGTCTCATGAAGTCGTAGGAACCGAAGCCGACTGCAAAAAGATCGGTAAATTTTGGGTTCCATCGGATGGCTGTTACCTGAGAAGATTGAGATAGCATGCCCAAGAACTTGAGGTAAAAGTTAAACATTAACACTCAAATAGACCACCTCGATGCGCTTGCATAGAAAACAGGATAGGTAGAGTTGTATCAGAGCGTTGCACTGTAGATTAAGGAGAGTTGTATCAGAGCGTACTACTGTAGATTGGTGGGAGCAGTAGAGACAACTGTTATTACTTGCTTCCTCTTCACTTTTTCACTGGTGAACCTCCACAAAGGCAATAATGTGCCTTCGCCGTCTTGCCTAAACTCATCCGACTTGTCCTCCCAGAATTTGAAGTCATGGTAGATTTCTGACTCAGCGTTCTGGTTTACCATACGCTCCATGAGTTTTATACCTAGAAGGTGCCGGGAATAGCAATTATCAAGGCTTCCTTTTTCATAGGACAAATCATTCTCAGAAGTACCTAATTCGATACTTCACTGATAATGGAAAAAGGACCAACCTCCAAAAAGAATTGTTCACCATCAGCAAGTACTAGAGCACACAGGTAAAATAACAGTTTTGCTCTACTTGAGGTGGTAACTTATAGTAAACTTTATAAACTTAAACACAACTTGAGGTAACTTAGTAAACTTTATAAAGAGCACACGACAGGTAAAAAAATATTAAAGTACTAAGTTTCATAGCATCCGAGTAGATCGGATCGCTTTCGGAGGGCTTCTTTTTGGTGTCTAGCTCCAAGTTGACGTTTGATTTCTTCTCTTTTGCGTTCCTCTTGGCCTGTTCCGCTGCCTCGATGTCCTTCATGTAGCTATCGTATATGATCCACTGCGTCACTGACTCGGCGAAATCCTTGCAGAGAGGTGGCTGCGTGGCTGTAGAACAGTGTTTAAGGTTGAAGTCGAGGGGAGGACGCGAATGAGTACGAGGAGGGGATTGAGACAAGAACTGTCGTGGAGGTTGAGATTAGTCTTTCATCCTTCCCCTACAAACTAACCGCTTTTTTTTTGTTTCTATGGACAACGAGAAGACGCTTTACCTGCCACTCTTGTTCTCTGGACTTCGTTGTAGGTCTGGGATGCTCGTTCTGAGAAGTTAAACTGATTTCTCAAAGTGTTCTTCTTGGCGGCCTCACCGTCATATTCTACTATCGTCACGTCTACTGCCTCTTGGGCGTTTCGCCTTTCCTGCTCCTCTTGGGGATTAGAGGGGGAGTGTAGCAGCTGGGGCAGATGTAGTACGTAGAAGAAAACGGGAAGTTGTACGACGCTAGAGCTGGCTGGACCTGACCCCCCTGTTTTCATCTTCAACAATGATGAGACTCTATCTACTCCTTCTAGAACTCAAGCAACCTGCAACCACTTTGCCTTAATTTTCCTTTTCAGGATTTCTTGCTGGGATGCTTCTTCTGCTGAACCCTTCTTCAATATTGTTGCATCCGTGGTGAGGTGCATCACCATTTGCTCTACCTATAGGAAATAGGTGAATGTTGTTCTTGCTCCTGATGTTATACGACTAGAGACTTTCCACAACAGTATACGTAGAAAGAGGTAAACTAGTGCTGGAGCCTCTCGACACAATCACGAAGCAGCAAGTATATCAAAGTTAAATCTCACCTGATCGTCCTTCTTGAAGCATTGTTCGCGGTAGGAGTATTGCGTGACATTGTGTGCCGCTCTTGGATTGTTCGGGTAGAGCACCCTTGGTTCTACCTGTAAGTTTTTTTGACGGAAGCGCGTACTGGTGTCTATGGCATCCAAGCCTAATGACGAAACTAAGCCATCAAGTAGATGCAGAGCGAGAATCTTCTTTGAAGAACTCCAAAAGCACACTGCAGCAAACTACTATCTGATGAAAAAAGACCTCTTTCTCCAATTCTTCCGGTGCCAAATCCAGCTGATCTTCTGGCTTGACGTTGATAATGACAGGCATATCAAAGTCAAAGTTCATGGCCTCCTCGGCCCCCGGCTCCGTTTTCCGTGGCGGCATTTTGTTCTCAGGTTTGTTGAAGAGGAAACAGTAAAGGAAACACCTGCTTATTCAAAAATCAATCGAGACTGCTACAAACTTTGTATCGTCGATGAATAATGCTTCACATTGAAATCTCCCTGTTTAGATGGTCAGTGCTAAAACCTGTCCGAGACGTCCACGAGACCGATTTGGTTGCGAATATCCTTCACCTTTTTCAATGTTTCGCTTCTTTTCACGACGATGCTTCTGTTCTATATCTTTCCGATAAGCAGCCCTTTTCGATTTTTACTCGATTTCATCTCTCTTTTCATCTCTATTCCAAACCAACGACTCGAATCACCCTTTGTTCTTCGAAAGGAACTCTCTGGCTGTGTAAAAACCTAGACTGTGAATAATCGGAAAAGGAGAAGATCTACGTCGTGCAGCAGTTGCGGCTAAAAAGTTGATGTAGTTCTTCTTCTTGCCAGTACTATCACAAGTAACTAAGTACTCATGGTGGGCAACTACACACAGATTGCTACATTGAGGATGACTACGCTTGATTCGCACCATTCTGAGAAGTAAGCCCCTCATCATCCAGTGCAGCGTTCAAGCCGTTCACGTACCCTTGTAAGGTGTCCAAGATACTCCTACCCCCTCCACCTCCGCCAATCTTGTCTGCTATTCTCGCACAGTCTTGTTGTATCTTCTTGCCTTCCGTCATGGCTACGACCGAAGGAGAGGGTGCGTCGCCATCTAGCTCTGCGTCTTTGGAGTATTAGAGATGTCGGGATGGGAAGATCTCTTTTCAAGTAGTTTCACAGGACAACATCAAACTCTATTATCTTATATTTGATTTACAACTTAGCAACTACGATCAGAAACAGCGACCAATGCGCTCCTTGGTCGGTCATCAAAAATTGTTCAAAAATCGAAAAACTGTTCAACTTGAAAGTACAGAAAATGATCAGCCCATAACCTCCTTCTATCCCCGGTCCCGTCACTGCTTTCTTCATCTTCGCGAGATATCGCATCAGCTGATTGTAGCTCAACTGGAAATCTTGCATCAACTCTGCTGGACTTTTCGCCATGAGTTCTGGTGGTGGCGGTTCCTCTTCTTGCGTGGCAGCGAACGAAGTGGGTCCTCGAGTGCTCTTGTCGGTTCTTGAGAACAAGTGTTGCAGTGCGTTGTTGCTCGATGGAGAAGATGTCGGGGGAGAGGATATCGCACTCAGGATTCTTCCTGTTTCTCTTTCTGTAATTCTTCGCGAGGTGCTTCCCGGTGAAGGCGACGGCGCTCCGAGCAGCAGGTCGGACAGCAAGTCATGAAATTTTATCGCCATTATCTTGCTTTTCTTGAAGAGTCAATGCTGCATAAGTATCGGCGATTCGCTTGTGGTCTAAAAATGTTCCTAGAATACTTCTACTTTGTTGAGTTTATTTCAGGTAAAGAAATGAACTACGCCAGCAACTACAAAAACGATACTATTTTTGTAGTACTCATGCAACACGATAAAATCTCATGTATCGACATCAACATGTCTTAAACTTGACATACTCTACTTCAAGGGTGAGAAGAGAGGTTATAACAACTCTCTAACTTCGTTGTTCATGCACACCGATACATATCTCCAGAAGCTTCATGGAACCGACGCCAATCTGCACGGAACCGGACCCAATGCAAACCAAACATCTAACGAGTTGCTGCACGTACCTTTTGCTATCATTGCGAACGTGCTTCATCTTTGTATTAGTGACCGAGTGACCGAATGTGACAGACGAGATCACACAACCGAACTACCTACTGATTCTCGACCCGATACCCCAACGGATGAGTATGGAACCATCTCCCGATCGTCACAAGGACAAGCGCACCGTGATGAATGATGCATCAGCGAAGGTACTAGGACTAGTTACTTATTCATCTCCTCGTCCTCAAATCGCAATAATAGCCTCTTTCATCCATATTCCATATTGGTATTCTACCTCGACCGTTTTCCGTTCCACGTCATATTCAAGTTCTCTACTTCTCACAAAAAGCTCCTACTTTAGCCAAGTTTGAATTAGTACACCGACAAGTGCAGAAGATCACCACATTAGCCGGAATGAGCAGAAAAGCCGGCATAGCCAAGGACAAGGTCAATGAATACATTTCTTTTCCAAAATTCAGTTCATTTTCGTTTATCAACATCAGACAAACTCAAGTTTATATTTTCAACGACAAATACCTGAAGATACTTCATAATGATCTGCTTCTGCTTCTTCATATCCTCCAATAATCGCTACCACTCCTCCTTGCGCGTGTGGCAGTGCAGCTAAAAAAAGAACATGGATCGAACAATCGGAGGGACCGATAATTTCATTGATTTTACATCAAAAATAGACTACTTAGTTCTGATAGTTCAGCCATCACAACAGTATTCATTTTGTGCGCACCAGGAGGTGTTTGTCTTCTTATTCTCCTAGCTGAGTACAACTAGTCCCAATGAATTCTTGTTATTATACTTAATTGTGCCTCCAGTGCAGTGCTTACGACCTATACCTATCCTATTGTTATAATTGTACCAGTGCAGTGCTTACCTATAGATACCTCGATTAGTATAGCACTAAACTCGAAAATCCTCCTGGCGGTACGCGTGGAGCATTATCAGGGTCACTAGTTGTATCCGACACACCTGGAAGCGGTCTACTCGTCGACATCACACCCATCGGCTGCGATGTGATTTTCGTAGGATTTTGCGTGTTCCATTTCGTGCCGCGTTCAGAATCGTCCATCTTCAAGAGATGCGGACTCTTCGAGGAAGAATTTGAGTGTTGTACCATGTCAGGGTAAACCATCGGAGGGATATCGTGCATGCCAGGCATTTGCCTGCTGCCAGTGGAAGATACTCCGCCGTGGTAGAGATTAGAAGTGGGAGGTGGAGACTGAACAGGATTAGAAGAGGATGAAGCGTCGATTAATACGGCTATGTAGTACATATTAAATGACTCTTCTATGAAACCAAAATCTGTTATCATTATCGTACTTCTCTACTTCAGAAACCTGATAATGATAACAGATTTTCTTTTCATATCTTCTTGATAACTAGTACAACTATCTCTATGGAACAATGTTGAAACCATAACAAAGGCTCCCGGTCCTGGATACGACGGACCCGATCCACCTCCGGAAAAAGCGGATGGTGATCCGTAGGGAATCTGGTTCTGTTGCATATTTCGACCTGGAGGACCGTCTTGTTCCTGCGCTCCTCCTCCATAGCCATTGTAAAACGAGCCAGATGACGCGTTACTGGCTCCGCCCACAGGTTGCTGATTGTATCCACCACGACCGGCGAGTCCTGGTGGAGGACACTGTTCCATCATAGCAGGCTGTTGTTGAAAACCAGGAGGTTGTTGATATTGTCCTTGGTGAGCTATCGGGTTGTATTGATTCTGCCCTCCCATTGCGCCCATTGGAGGATAGTTCATCTGCTGTCCTGGCATCTGCATTCCAGTTGCCTCTGGGTGATGCGTGATCGTGTTCAAAGAGTTCGCATAACCCTCGTTCTGTAGGATTGGGGCTTCTTCATAGCCGCCGAAGAGACGATCGTTTGTGTCCTTTGCAGGCATGCCTGGCAGTTGGAAATCGTCGTTGTCGCCAAACCTCTCCTCACCTGAGCAGGGATCTAAGATGTCGTCTGCTTCGTCGGCCTCAAAGAGAGGGTCGGAATCTTTCGGGACGAAGACCTGTTGTAGTGGTTGCGAGGAGACTGATCGTGATTGGGAGTAGTTGAGTTTTTTTCAGTGGGTGGAACTAATCGACCTTCTTGCTTTTTTCAGTGCGGAAACATATCTTTCTCTATTTTGAAGAGGAAGTACTCTCACAACAACCACAAGCACAACGCAAAAATGCACGAAATTAATGAAGTAGAAGTACCAATTTCCTCGAAAACAATTTCACGCCTTCTTCTAGACTGTTTTTTTTCTCCACTAGTTCTTTTTCTCGTTTTTTCTGACTCGCGATCTCGATTCGGATAGGCAACTTGGACATACTCTGCGCTACGCCCTCAAGTTTTCCGCTGAACCAGTCCAAAGTTTTGATCCGTTCGTCTTCGCTGACTAGCCTGTTCTTGTAGAGGGTTGATTGTGTTGTACTGGAAATGAAATTGAATGTTGTCATTATAATGTTGACAGTAGATGAACAACTAGCAAGGATCATGAAGAAAATCTCGAGTACGAACGACCATCCATCAAGCACTAGTACCTATATCCTTCCGGCACTTTCACCTTCTTCGCTTCCTCCTCTTTCTGCACCCTTGCATTTTCTTTGTCGGCTTTAAACTTCTGTAGATATTTCGGAATTGAGCCTGGCGTGTGATATCTACGTTTGGTGGACTCATCGCCTGCTGTACTACGAGGAACTCGAGAAGATGCGACTGAACCGACTTCGGAGACGAGATCTGAGAAGATGAACGCGTGGGCGGGAAAGGTTTGACACAATGATTGAACAAGGTACATTGAGGAGGGTATGTTTGTACTACTTCTACTTGACTGTGAAGGCAAAAAAAGTAGCAGACCTGCGAGTCAGCAGTACCACTCGACACTCCTCTCGCGGGTGCGCGCCTCGTCGAAGGGACCCCGGGTCGACTCGCCACAGGTGTAGGCGCTTGCTTTGGTTGGTATGGAATGGTGATACCTTCGCCTTCTGTTAGGGGTTGAAGCTTCGCCGTCTGCTTCGCACGTTCCAGTACGAGTTGTCGAAGAGTTGCCATTTTTGTATTTTTTTCGGTCGTGACTTATTCACTTGATGCGTAGTCAGTGAAAAAAAAAGAATCAATGACTGTTCTCGTACGAGAAGTAGTACAATACAGACGAGTTTTTGTTCCACAAGCTTCTCTCGATGATGATGCCGTTCTTCTTCACGCACTTTGCTTTGTTTCCTTCCGAATCTTTGAAGAGATCTGCACGCCGTCAAGTTCACGGTCACCTTTTGCACAGTTTTTGTTTTCAGTATTCGTTGCGGTCCTAGTCTCTCGAAGATCATCTCCCCTTGTCATGTGTGTGCTCCTGATGTGACCATTCGTGATCACCGTAGAAGCCAAATGGCACCTTGTTTGCTCCACAACATACAGTACATGTCATTGAGACACAAAGTAGAACACACCAAGAACTACTGTTCCAGACCTGGAAGTTCTTGATGTACTTGAAATGCAAGAGTAGACGGATAGTACCACACGGTTGATGTCCAGGCAATGCATGAGTTTATGTATGAAAAACGAGGACTGCCAGTGTCTTGAAGATGCTCCTTGAGGAAGCTGATGATGCTCCTACGTGTAAGTCGTAGTCGTTGTCCTACTCCTGCTACTTTCTTCTACTTATAACAATAATTGGACTTTATTTCATGCTCCTCACCCGCAGGCGAGCGGCTCCCCTGCATACAGGTTCCAGATGAGTATGACATTGGTGGTCACGCATAGTTGGGGTGACATCATGCGTGGTTGAAAACGTGCAACGACAGACGAGACACGATACATTTAGCAAACGACAAACAAATGTTGACTGTGCGATTAGAAGATCCTGTAATGTTGATTCCAGACACGGGATGTCAGCGTAGTACGAAGGAGCACGAACCCAACGAGAACGGGCGGAGTGAGAAAGAAATAATACAAGTCAATCAAATCTCCACGTGGGTCAATATATTTGAGTGATTACATTTACATCACTCACGTTTGCTTTACTAATCATGCACCGCGCTTCCTCTAGACCCAAGTAGAAAACTCACACATGATTTTAAGCAGACAGTTGGTAGAGAGCTGAGAGAGAAATATCTTCAGCTCAAATGCAGAATTCAGACCGAAGAAGACCAAAATCTTGATATTCTCTTGAATAAGGAAAATATGTCTTTAGAGCCAGTGCACTAGCCGTTTTTTCCGCAGCGGCTTTGATGGTCACTATAGTGGCAGAAAGAAGACAAGAGGCCACTTTTTACATATGTCCCCAAGGTGGTCAGCTCAAATGAAGAAGTACATATAAACTCAAAAGGAGGGCCGGTGATGGTTTCCAAGGCCGTCTTTACTGAAAAGCTAATTAAGTATCAGCATCCATCAATCTATCAATGCCGTAACCAAAATCTAATATCAGGAATAATGATGCCGTTGAAAATGGATGAGTAATGCTTCTAGTGCAGCTTACGTATCTATGTGTAGAAGAATTACGTGATCTCTTCTCGTTCTCTAATCCTGTAGTTCCTCATGAATGATTTCCAATTCTTTATTCGAAGTTCTTTATCCAGCAGACGTCGTTAACAGAGGATACACCCTTCATCGGTTTGTGATCTCCGCGCCGTTTTGCGTGCTGAATGACCGCTAACTCCGTGTCGTCTACACAGTGGAGAGAGCGCCTCTTCAGGCGTCAGAAGTTCTGTTGGTGTTCTTGAGGAGTCGTTACTAGGAGAAGATGAACTAGAGGATGATGAGCCTTCCCCAGGACTCCTAGAGGAAGAAGAAGATCTAGTAGAAGTGGTCCTTTTTGAGAGACTGCTATTTTTGCTCTGTTCGTTGTACAATTCGTCTCCACCATCTCCTCCAACATCTTGAAGATCAACACCAGTTGTACTGAATAAAGTGCTACAACTTCTAGATCTAGTTGTCCTTGTTCCCTTCCTAGTTGATGTGGTCCGAGCATCTTCACGATCTCCATCAAGTCTGCTTCCAGTCGTACAGGCGCGGATGAAACGAGCAGCAAAACTCGAATCCTGAAAATATCCTTGCTGTTGTGCTAGTCGCCGACTGAGAGCTCTAGCTACTTTTTGGTATTGGTGGAATTCAGCAATATCGGCTTCACTAATGCTAGGCACCGGTACCACATGTACGAAGCGTTCAAGTAGCTGCAAAGCACGAAAAAACCCGACGTTGGGGTAAATGCGACTTCTTTGAGCGAAGACCGTTCGTAAGGCTTCGCGTAGCGTGTAACGTTGGACGACGATTAGGTAAGCTAGGACAACCGTTACGCTGCGTGACTTGCCAGCGACGCAGTTCACCAAGACATTTGGATTTCTACCAGCAGAGGAAACTGAAGATGAAACTCTACTACTATCTTTAGGGAATGGACCGAGACATCCAGAACCTCCATCCTCCTGCTCGAATTTTGCACTAGTACCCGGAACACCAACATGGTGCGTCGACTTTCTAGTCTCTTCATGTTGAATGCAGACTAGACCGTGTCTGTCGACTGGATAGAGTTCCTGTTCTCCGAAGAGACGTAAAACTGCGATGGACCACTTTCTGCGCAACGCGTCGGCTTCTGTCACGCGTCGTTCTTGTTCACCTTTCGGTTTGCTTGAGTCATCGTCCAGTCCTTGCCGAACTAGTTGTGTGCCACCAGCTGAAGTTGTTCTACTGCTAGTGGCAGCACTAGCGCGATTTCCTTGTTGTTCAACAGACTGGTGATCACTAGCTGAAAAAGCGGACGTCAATGCTGCGACTCTCCTACTTGACGATGATGGAAACCCTCCTTTTATGGTTCTCTCCGCGGCGTTCCGCTGTCGCACACGCACTCGCCTCTCCAGTTGGGCGACCTCACTTTCGCTCTCGAACATGGCCCGTCTATTTTGAAGGTCTTCTCGCAATCTGCGCATATCTTGACTACACCCGTTCTTGGAGATGCCCAAGGTCGAACTCAGTAGTTCCTGCATGAGACATGAGGAGTCGTTCTCATCATCTGGTTGATTTGGTTCTGTAGTTGTAGCAGAAGATGAGCCCCCTCCTGCACCAGAAGTTCCTCCACCAGGAGAACTACAACAGTCGTCCATCAAGATCTTTCCTCTGATTTTATGAAACCAAAATCTCTTATCAATATCATTATCGTACTTTTCTACTTAAGAAACTTGATAATGATAACAGATTTTCGTTTCATAGATTTTGCTAGCATGCTCCTCATCGTCGGCAAAGAAACACCCATCGTCCAATGCCGCATCCAAGAACCGCACTGCGTCCAACAGATAAGAAAACAAGACAACCGTTTCATCCTTCTGGTCCGCGACTGGTATCACGCGTCGCTCAATGTCTTCCGAACCCGCAAATTTTCCCTGTGACAATTAGAGGTATGTATGTATGTATGTATGTATGTATGTATGTATGTATGTACCCACTCCAGGGGTTTGAAAGACTAGACTACTCTACTTCCAGTTAGTTTCCTTAGTCGAGTGGAGAAGTGCCGACTAAGACGATTCAGTTGAAAGAAGTCGAGTGGAGGAGTGCCGTCTTATTTTCGTCTTAGTTTCTTTCCCCTTCAGCTTCAAGAAATCAGAGGAGGACTTGAAGACCCTACTCAGTATAGAAGAGTCCACACGGACCCCACTCAGCCTAGTCTGTCCACACGGGATAGTGATAATCTAAGTACCCTTAAGACAAGTCTAAAACCGTTCCAACTCCAGCTCGTTTTAGTTTGTCAAAGTTCGATGCAGCTTTTAAGGACCCTACTAGAAGACGCCGGCCAGTTCTGGGATGTTGGAAAACGCTGGCCAACCTGTTACCCTCGTGACCTGGGGAAAAGGTGTTCACTGAATTTTCTAGGTCACACATCAGGGATAGTTGGCCGAAAGCGTCCGCGAGACCATCACTCACAGGATCCTTGATGACCGTCGTGTCAGTCTCATGAGGCAAAACTCCAACAGGAGAAGGTGGAGACGGGTCAACATTCTGCGTCGAACTGGGTGAAGAAAAGATCTGCGAAGAGGATGCTGGCACTGTAGCTGCATAGCAAAGCGGAGTAGCACCAACTCTTCGCGCCCCCAGATAATTATTGTTTAGGAGGTGTTGTTCTGAGAAGGCACCCGAAGCAGTCGGTGGCAGAGACACGATTCGTGCTGGGCCAACTCTACTTCGTGTGACATGGTGTTGTTGTTGTTCTGATGTACCTCCAGAAGGAGTAGGTGGCCCGGATGTACTTGACGTCGCCATGGTGCCGTCATGGGTATCCTGCTCTCTATGATGTGTCGCACCCGTACTTTTCTCCACAGCAACAGCTCCCGCAATACGTCTGGTTCCATTTTTCCCTCCCGACAAGGAGCTCTGCATCCGCAGCAGCTGTCGACGCGTATACGCGGCGGGAGTTTCTTCTCGATCCGCGTCACTGCCATCACTCTCATCCTTCAGTAACGACGTGGGATGCAGTGGTGTTGGAACGCCGATACTTGAAGAACTTGCTCCTGATTTAGAAACTGAAGCCGCCTGGGAGTAGGAAGATGGGCTCTGACGTACAAACTGCTCCTGGAGTCGCCCTGTATTGCTGATACTGACAAAATCCTTCCGTGGAGTGGTGCAAGTTCTCGACGGAGCATCAGCGCTTCTCGTATTTGGTGTTCTGGACGTTGTGGTGCCGTCAGACGGTTGTCCGCGACGGATGAGGTGCGATGGAGGCCTACCTGGCGGCAGCCCCTTTGGAAGGACGACCTGAAGAATTCGTGCCTGCCCAGGTGGACGTGTCGTCAACGATGTGGGCACAGCATGCACGCGCTGTGGACCACTTCCCGGAGGCGCATAGCTCGGAGAATATGCTGTACTATCAACTACTTGAGTAGAACTAGAAGCTCCTGTATGATGGTCTGGTACATGGCCAACGGTCGCGGGAGTCGACGTGGCTGGATAAGCAACTCCTTGTCTTGCAGTATCTTCTGCCGAAAGAGATGCTGGATATAGCAAGGGTTTGGGAGTGTGAAGCACCGCTCTCTGGGACGAAGAGTCTCCTGTAGGGACGGAACCCAGTATATGATTGGTCGACGGACTAGATGCACTGGCTCGCGCATTGACGGTGATTCCAGAAACAGAGAGCAGGAGAAGCGAGACAAGAAGCGCATGCATTGACATCCAGGTGGCCATCCTTTTGCTTTGGAAGATGTTAGCGCACAAACCTGCAACAGAAAAAAGAAAGATTGTTCTCTAGCTGAGCACGTGACGAACTTCTGCGCATACGCGAGATCAGAAAGTAGACCGAATGGTACTGATTTTGTTTTGCTTCTTTTCAGGATCCTACGTTAGCCTTCCTCAACTATACTCCCTTGGTCAACCTTCAGATATCTTTGCATGCTGGAGCCACTAATTGGTCGTGAACATCGAAGTCTGTAGTTACAACAGTGTGTTCTTCTGTCTCCGTTTCGTATGCACGAGAAAGTATTACAAAGGGGTACAGCAGGTGTGATCGCCAGTGATGATCCCTGGAATTGCTTCTAGGAGCGCTTGGCTTGATAAAAGGAATTAGCAGCAGGAGAACTAACATCAAGTAGTGTGACTTCACACTTTTTCTTCGCTGAGAACACCAGTTAATTTCGTGCATACGTCATCAGGCAGTCCAAACGCGCCCGATGGCCTTGATGAGTGATTTTCTTCTTTTTGTATCACATAAGACCGCATTGGTTCTCCATACAACAGAACTGCTTGTTCTTCACAAAGATTTTTGATGCATCATGTAGGTATGCGGCAGTTGCGTTCTTGCAGTTGCGCAGTGTTGATATGGTATTCTGAGTCTTCCTACACCTTACCCTCTCTGGAGCACTTAGACCTCCACGAAGAAGTTCGGTGTAGAAGTGCGACGCTTCCAGTCTTAGTTGAGTATGTTTCCGTGATTCTATTTGTCTTCCGGTATTTTTAGATTGACCGACCCGAAAGAAATATCTAAAAAATGTTGATGTGTGAATCTGATACCTATCATTTCCATGTCGTGATCGTGATGATTGAATCTACCTTCAAATAAGGTCCACGTATGGCGAGGATAAGTGCGCAAGAACTGACGAGAGTAGCAAATGACAGCACTAGAGCGGTTGCAAATGCGATTGGTGATCGACATTCACAACAAGAGAGTGATGATGAGGCGCGCCCCGCACACGGAGCACGCTATTGAAACCCCATCCGTCCTTGTCATTGTACTAAACTCGTTTAGATTTAGATCAAAAATCTGAATCATATCTATCACAACTATGATATTATCCTTCGGTTCTTCTCGAGAGTCTATTTTTCATCTAATATGCAGTTCCTCCATCAAAATATGATTGATTTCGTATAAGCTGTTCTTCCAACAGGCGATTCCAACGAATCTCTACCACGTTCAGATGAATGGTTCACAGTCTCAGTGGAGAACTTACCTTATAGAGCAACATGGTCCAAGTACAACAGTAGGAGCAAGAATAGTTGATGTTCGATAATACCTAGTCCTCGACGGCTAGCAACTGGCAATGAAGAGTTACACCTCACTGCCAGTCCAGTCGAGCCTCGCCTCTTTGTCTTGGGACATGATTCGTCTAGTACCCGCCTAATCGTAAGTATGTGGATATTGATCTCCCAGTCGTGTATAATCAAAAGATCTAAACCTACTAAAATTGCTAGAAGTTGTACGTCTTAAAACCAATCATCTTCTTGTGGCGAACATGTGGTTGTATTAACATCATTCGCAAAGCGGATAGCAAGGAATCACCATGATGAGCTCGTCGTCTTCGAATCCTACTAGAAACGTGACGTAAGAACTATAAACCTAATTGCGTCTCCCTGCAAAAGCTGGCTACGTATTATAGTCTTGTTCTATCAACAGATTCACTCGATTATGATGTCGTTGCGAAAGTCTACTTCACCATTGAGTCTTCTTACGAGTCACACCCCGTGAATAGAAGATGGGCGTTGTAGTTTTCTCATGTTTGGTACTGTCTGTAGCCTGCAAGCTACGTAGTTCCAGGTTTTATCTCCTCGTCACCTACTACAACTCATAAAAGGAAAGTTTGCGAACACTTGCTTCTGATAAACATAGTTATTGACGGTTTGTTGTATCTCCTCAACATGAACCCCGTCTCCTAATGTACCATCTCCTAAGTACATCTTCTTCTCTTCACTTCGACCTCTTGCCAGCCTTCATCTTAGATGCCCATCGGCTTGGCGCCCGCGACCTCCTCGTCGATGTTTTGGCCGGCCTCGAGAGCTTCCTCCCACTTGATGATCTGCGCAATACCCTCGATGAACAGGTTGCACTGGAGTGATATTGGTTAGGTTTCATGTCATAGGACAAGTAGGTTAAAGTCAATCTTTTTTAGAAACAAAGAGTGCTCTCTCTTCTGAGCGACGTCATCAGAATGGTAGTTTAATACTTTTTAGCAGAAAAATTTATCTTCCAAGTACAACCTGTTACACAAGAATCAAATCTGAGGAACGACAAGACTAGTTGCAAAGGGATACCAGCTGCACTTCGGACATGCCGAGACGATCGGCGTTGGAGATATCCCAGGTTCCGCCAGTGGACGCGGAGTCAACACCAGCAGTACCACGAGCCTGCAGCTTCATCTTCTTCAGGATGTCCTTGAAGTCCGCGCGAGCAGAGAACAGCGGAACCTTGACCATGGCGCCAGCACGAAGACCCGTACCCAGGTTGGACGGGCAGGTCAGGATGCTGTTGTTGTTGTTGTTGAGTTTGGATAGAGATATGGGGAAGTAGCACTATGGGTCTGGAAATAGATTATTTTATTTTGGAGAAAAAACATACTTAACCTAAAAAAGTAATATGAACTGCGAGTGAAGAACTCTACTTAAATCTGAATAATCAGTACCACTACTTTACGAATACGATCTAAATGATCCAAATCATCAGTACTATCCCAAGTGGTCGTTGTGCATGAAGTCGTATCCTTCTCCGGTCAAGCAGTCCTTGACGGTCTGGCACGCGTTCGCGAAGCGGGTGAAGATGGCGTGGATGTTGTCACCCTTCTCCATGGAGACGATACGCATCTGATCCTCTTCGTTGACCCAGACGAAGAAGTTGGCGGCTTCGTTGTGGAAGATACCACGGGCATCGGGCCAGTGGCGGCCGCAACCAGAGGACAAGAGCAGGGTGGAATCCGGCTCCTGGAACAAGTTACCAGCGGAACGGAGCTGTTCTTCCTTCTCCTTGGACATCTCCTTGATACCCTGCTCCTCCATAGACTTGGAACCGTTCAACGGGAAGTACTCACCCTTCAACTCGCCGGTCATGTTCATCAAACCTGAGGGTACTTACATAGATATGCTGGAACATTTTAGATGAACATATGGGTCATGAAAACACAGTATCTATTAAAAATATTCTTTCGCAGTCGACTGGTAAATGAAAATCCGCAACAACTTCGGTATCGTCTTTGACGCCGGTCGTAGTATTTTTAGCAATAGATACCCTTGACGATGACACGCTCGGTCTCACGACGCTGCTCGAACGTGCAGGATGGCGGCAGCGGAAGGCCGCGGACGGAACGACCAGTGCGGCATCGGGTGGTCAAGACCTTTGAGTTTTGATGTTGAGATGAAGACTATTCAGAACTATTTCTTCGCTGAAGACGAGCAACTCTTGCCCAGTTCCCCTTCTAGCAGTCTTTCACAAGCTGAACAAGAGAACAAACAACATCAATCTCAATCTCTGCATCTAAAATCTATAATTCTAAATCTGCGTTAGGCTTAGGAAGTCAAAATTAGAATCAGTACGTATTTGCCCTTGGGATCAATGGGGGTCTTGGACAGCTTGGACGGATCCATATCGGTGGAATGCTTGGCATCGGGCTTGTATCCGCCGTTGCGCTTCTCGACGACGATGTCGAACAGGTCCTTGAACGTAGTGTAGCACTCCTCGTCACCGGCGACCAGACCGCAGGTCATGATGTGCGGATGTCCCGGGTTATCGATACCGGTCTTGATGCACTTGGCGAGCGACACACCGCCAGCGGTGGTCACGTTCTTGTACCTAAATCATAGGGAGGCTTCCTCCAGCTGAAGATATTACACTATTGAGGATGTAGATTGCTTTCAGTAATACGTTTACGAGTCAGCAGGATAAAGGATCCTCGTGTTCTTTGAAGACTATATGAGAATGCAAAAGCCACATTATGGAAATGTTGATATCCGTGTGGTCTGTCTCTCCTAAAACTGACTTCTAAATTTTCTAAAACGAAGTAGCATAATTACTTCTCGTAGATTTCGGGGTGATCACGAAGTGCCATGGCGCACAAGTTTCCGTGGTTGGACAGGTCCGGGAGTTTGTCCGGGCACTTGTCACCAGGGAAGGTGGCACCCTTCTCCTCGCAGATGTATTCACCGTTGCCGCATCCAAGCTTGATCCATTCCGGGAGCTCGGCGACGGTGGCAGACAATCCCTCCGGTGGGTAGGACATCTTGTTTTTGTTTTTTGATGTAGAAAAACTACGGAAAAAAGTTGTTGCTGTCGGAGAAGACGACGAATACTTGAAAGTATTTCCAGTCTTTTTTCTCGAAAAAACTGCTGGAGAATTCCGATGTACGTGTAAACGCGAAGGCTGTCGTGTGGAAGAACTTCCTCGGTCGGCGTAGAGGCTTGATGTGAAGATGCTGCTTCGGAACCGAAGATCGCGAAGAAGATGTGAAGATGTTTGATAGTTGTAACTACCGAATATCTTTTTGAGGCACAATGTGCTCGTAGGTTGAGGCGAAAGGTACGTATAAGTACGGTCACTTACACACACTCGGCTACGATTTGGAAGACGGGAGACATGATTTTTCATTGGACAAAAGAGAAAAAGTAGACACGACCACGGGACAATTTGATTATTGATTGTACCAGATGATGGATCAAAAGTGATTTAGGTGGGCGAGGATGATGCCCATGAGCATGACGACACAATGTGGAATAATATGAGAGGATTTCATGAAGTTAGTTTTAAAAAAATGAAAAAAAATGCAGGATCATGACGAGGTGTGGGACATCAAAAAATGCAGATGACAGGTTGGATGGATAATGAGAATGGATTTTTGTAGAAATCACTTCTTACGCAATAATGCTAATGGCGGTGGAAGACATTTAAATATATAATAGCAAAAAAAAAGCCCTCATCGCTCCACGCAAAAAAATACAGCATCCTCCAAAGCTCTTATGACAGAATGAAACATCGCTCAACAGACTGCCTTCTCCATCGTGCTCATCTGCTCGTCTTCAAACTTATAAATAACTTCACGTAGCAAAGAGGCTCTCTTTCAACTGCACTTATACCTATCAAGCTCTCACGAGCATCACAAAAACCACAAACCACAAACAGACTACTTTCAAAAAACCGATGCTGAAACACACTTTCAAATCGAACAAGTTCTCAGTGTAAATTCCGAGTCGCGAATGCTCACGCATGAGGTCTTCATCATGTTCAAGATGTATGTTTACTTTCTTTACCCTCAGATACTCCTGCATGTTTAGCTCTAATATGCGCCACAATTTATCCGTCTCGAAGATCTAGATGCTGACATATGGAACAAAACCTCTTGCAGACTACGATCCCTAATTTTTAGATCGGACAGACTAGAAATGAGAGAAGATACACACCGAGATCCAAATAGCTCTTGTTTGGGTACAGATTTTGGTGACGTCACAGACTGGGACGTGTTGCATGCTTCTTCAAAAATATCAGCAAAACCGCAATCCTTTTTGTCTGTGACAGTCTCCGCGGATACACAAATTTTAGGTTTCCCCGTCGAGGGCGCTCTTCTAGAATGCACGCTCGAACGTAGTCTAGATCGCCCTAATCTCCGGTGCATCCCAAGACCGACGACCATACTATCTTTTCCTGATTTTGCCCTTTTTAGAATTGGAGTTCTTGATGCTTCTTTGTCGCCGTGGTCATCCTCATGTCTCCCTCCACCTTGTTGCTCCGCAGAATCTAAAAGCAGTGGCATCAAGTGCTCTACGTACACATACAGGCCATCTCTCGTCCACAAGCCCGTCTTGGCCAACAACGCTGCGATTTCACTATGCACTTCAGCATTGGTCTTTTTTAGACTTATACTCCCAACTTTCGGAGGACGCGCCGCTTCCCCTAGCTGCGCTGCTACTGCGCGGCCAAGTCTTAGACATGTATCTCGTTGAATCATCACTTGATGCTTGGCTGGTTTAGATTTTGAAGGAGGGCTTGAAATCTTTTGAAATTCGTTTGCGGAACACCTGCTGATCTTCCCCAGATTTTTGGAAATACGACCCTCGCCACGACGCAAAACACCTCCTTCATCGCATTTAGAAATCAGTTTAGGCTCATGTTCATCAGCTGCTTCGTCCTCCACTAGCTCTTCTGCCGACTCTGGTGCTTCCATTACCGGACTCAAACAAGTCTCGGGACTGCTAAAGATTCTCGCTAGTCTGAGCAGCTCGCCTAAGCGTAGCTCTCCAAAACGAGTCAATAGCTTACTCCACATCACAAACCCGAAATCATTTGGATACAAGTTCGTGCTGTCTGGAAAGCCGCATTTCTCAATCACGTGTAGGCTCAAAAGCACCGACGCTGTTTGCCTTGCGCTTAGATCCTCAAATAGACTGCGCCTGAGAAGTGCCTTGTTCAAATATGAGATCGTCTTTTTCACCGTTTTCTTCTCCTCCAGGGTACTAACTCTTCTGTCATCGCCCGCTAATGACATCATCGGCGCCCCCGAACCGGAAGCGTTTTGAAACTTTTGAAATAACCAAGCATACGCTTTCAAAAAGTCCACAACCTGAGTAGCGTTTAGATTTGTCATCTGCGAAAGCAGTGTGTTTGGAAGAATACCCCAAAAGAAGCGCTCGTGCAGAAAGCCTGCTTGTGTGAAGCACCTTGCCAGAAACCAATACAACGTCAGGGACTCTTATGAAACCAAAATCTGTTATCATTATCGTACTTTTCTACTTCAGAAACCTGATAATGATAACAGATTTTCTTTTCATAACTCTATCGATGAGGCCCTTTTGTCTTCGTTAGCGTCGCTTCCACCCTTGGGTTTCTTAGATTGCTGGGTCAAGTCTCCCTCTACGCCTGTGGCATGTCGTTTCCGAATCGCTGCTGAGTTGGGCATCGTCTTTCCACTCAAAAGATAAGCGCTCACGACCGGGTAGAAAGACACTCGCTCACTAGCAGGCAATTTAGATCGGGAAATCAGGCTCAGAGACCGAAGTGCGAACTTGCGAGTTGCCTCTCCACCGATGCCATCAAACAAGCCTGTGCCATCAGCGTCGGCCTTGCTCCTCATTTTCCTCAAAATCTTCGCTGACGCAGCAGCAAAGTGAAGCCATAGTGCCCTATCCCTTTTCCCACGTCTCAGAGCATCTTCCATTGCGTACAATGGCCATTTTCTAAAAGAAGGTCTTTTAGAAGAAGTCAAAGACGGGCTGCTCCGAAAGAATGCACCCAAATCGATTATCATCGGCCTCCTCTCGAGACCTGAGGAGCGTCGTCCCCGTCGCATCGGACTCGTCGCAGCGGCACCCGTGGGCACGACCCCACGAGGTGACGCACGTACTCGTGTAAGCGACATTGATTTTTTATCTGTAAATGCTGACTATAATTGAGTGGAAAAATCTAAATTTTCCGTCTTGTGTCATTTACGAAAAGAAGTCAATGATCGTATATATTTGTATTCAGGAGAACGTTCATTCAAATTCATTATCTATTAAGACTGGTAAACTGATCAGTACAACAAGGTATAATCATAGACAGCGACGGAGCTTCTACTACTCTTGTTGTTGGCACCAGACTATACATAGCCTAAAAATTTTCTTGTGCATGATCACAGTTTCCCTTTCCGTCCAGTAGTTACTTGTTTTCGTAACTATTTCTCTCAGTCACGCCAACCTTCAAAAATGCTTGTACAATCGGAACAGAGCCATACTGTCGATAGAAGGCCATTTTTTTAGCACCGGATCAGCAGAAAAGAACACTTATTCAAGGATGGCATGATAAAGACAGGTCTATGCTTCTTAGTCTCCGTTGGCTGCGCGCCTTGCGGCTGTCCCAAAATACCAAATGGACACGATAATAAATCCATTACAATCTAGGTTGGGGACAGGAATGTGGCATGATATCATTAAAGCTGGGGAAAGCGGATTGGTCCGCAACCAACAAATAAGGGGTACCCGCGACCCGGGGGTCATTCAATTTAAGGTTTAATCTACTATCAACAAGAAAGTCGGGTCTCGTTTTTTTTAGTTTCGCTATTTTTCAAAAGGTTTTTACAACGGCAACAAATTCAAAATGATGAACTAAGTAACTGCTTCTATTCTCTTTGTCTTTTAGATTTTGGTTGAGACATCATCTTTGGAAAATCAGCACACCAGCCGTTCAACTGGATCGAACGTCTTTTCTTCCTGCATCCCTTTCCTCAAGACACCTCCAGTCATACCCATCATCGCTTCCAACATCCTTGTTCCACGACCGCGTAAGTCCAAACACTCACGACACCAGCACTAATCCTGTTTCATCCGTTCATCATAGTTGCTCGCATGGTATCAGGTAACCAAACACCGGCTGGCTTTTTCTTCTTTCCATCATCCGAGGAGCTCAACTCATCATCCGATGACTCCTTAGCGGCATGCTGCGAGTACCACTGCTGATACCTGAGAAGATGAGCACTACATGTTGCGGACGATCTTCTTCTACTATTGAAGTTCAGCTGCAGAAGACTGGCTGCATAGGACTAGGCTCAATCAACATGCGTGTGCAACTGAGCACTGCAGCTTCAAAGTGGAGCCCAGGGACCAGCGTATGGGCGATTGGGTACAACCACGCAAATGCAAAAGTGGGCTACGGCGCCGCGCAGTCCAAAGTGGGCTACTATCTCTTGATGATCCTCTACCTTCACTTCCCCAACAACTTTTCTCCTGTTCAACAGATTAGCCTTCTTCTGAACTGCTTAGATCGCCCTCCCCCTGTTGTTTCTGCGCCTTATGCCACTCGATATACCTAAGAATTATTAAATAATTCAGTTAGAAGAAGTACACAATGTATGTTGACCATGTAGTTCGAACGCCAGTAGTAAATTGCTGTACAACTACAGCCTAGTAGCACAGTTAATCTTTCTTGTTACATCCACAGGATCTCCCTTCCTTTACTCAACATCTGAAGATTGGTACAAGGAATTTAAGCAAGAGAAGTTCATGGACGAGCATGTAGAATAACAAAAGAGCAAAAAAGCGAGTTTAAATTTAAGAGGCGAGAGTCAAAATCAAAAATCTAAAAATCAGTACTGATCGTAGCTCATGTTGACGAAGTCTGGCTTTGACGATGGCGCTCCCGCAGATATCGCTTGTCCACCTCCACTAGAGACCTGTTGTGGAGGTTGTTGTTGTACCACTATTGATCCTGGCGGAGGGCCCGTAGTTGTAGTTGTAGCACCCGCATTGCTCGTCGTAACAATAGTGCTGCCCTGAGGGATGGGCGCTGAACCTCCCGGTGAAGGATTGCTATTTGTGACGTAGATCACCTGCGCTGGCACGACGTTGTTGCCTGTGCTCGAAATGACCTGCATAGGTCTCGATGTTGCTATCATACTACCCGAACTAGTGCCGATTGTGGTATGCTGAGGTGCACCGCCATTCGCTATTACAGTGGACGAAGATGGAGCTGCAACTTGCTGGCCACCCCATCCGTTGGCATAGTTTGGTCCGCTTGAGCCAGTGCTTGCTATCGTCGTCCAAGTACCTGAAGTGCCTGCTATTGTCGTACTGTACTGGCTACCAGGCGCTGCTCCATAAGTCGTTGGCGGCCCGCCCGTCCTATTCGTCGTTATAGGACCATTATGCTGACTACTATGTGGCTGGTTGTTGTACTGATGATGTCCTCCCATATTGTTGTTATTGTGGTTTTGGTGATGGTTTCCGAAAATTTGATTGCTTCCATGACCACCACCTCCATACGGTCCGTTCCTATTGTAATTGCCGTATCCTCCCCTGTCTGGACCATAGCCAGTATTACCGCCTCCACGGTTGTAGCCTCCGTAACCGCCACCACCTGCGCCGTAACCATGTTGTTGTCCACCTCCGCCTCTGTTATTGTTGTATCCACCATGATGCCCATGACTATTATTGTTGTGATGTTGGAGGCCACCTCCACCTCCTCGGTTGCTGTTATATTGGTAGCTCTCTGGAAACAACGGCTGTCCCAATTCCGGGACGTCGTCTGGGACTACGGTGGGCTCTTCGTCATCCTCAATGAAGGCTTCTGGATCTGCCTTGAAAACGCCCAGGTCGATCAAATCACAAATCCTCTTGCCTACACTGTTAGGCAACTCCTGTCCATCTCGTGATATCTTCACACTCAAATTGTTGTTCCACTCATTTGTCACGTCAGCAACGTCATTGAAATCCAAGTCGTGGAGCTTCAACCACCTGAAATATGAGAAAAGATTGTGCTCATTGAAATCCAAGTCCTCGTGGAGCCGTTTAACCATCTGAAGGATTCAAAGGGAAAGGCGATAATTCTGATGATTCATTCATGAAGATTGAGATTGTGTGACGATACACCATCCACGCAAAATTAAAACCCACCAACAACATACTCATACATCTAGGCAACAAAAAGCAAACTAGTACTTGATATCAAACAACGCTCCAAATCCGTTGAACGGATCCCGCGTCGTAGAATGACCGCACTTCCCTACCATTCTTGCGTATCCTTGAAAATGTCCGGAAAGGTTCACAGAAAACAGCAGTATGACATATGGTGATACCCGTAACCTGAAGGTGTTGTTGTTTTAATGAATATGAGCTGGGAGATTTTTCGTTGAGGAGAACGGTGTTCAACAAGTGCGATGAATGAAATCGTCAGAGTTGTATGACCTTTTGAAAGTAGAACAAGTTCCTCCTGCTCGAACTCTCAGTTGTTAGATGAGGAAGCTTCTTCGAACAATGATCAGAAAAATAAATACGCTTAAGTAGATGGGCTTCTTCCACCTTCTAACAAGAATCAGAAAAATAAGTACGCTTCGTTGAGTTTCTTCTCGTTATGTCTTTGCGTCGCCCACACGTTATTCTGGATGCTTGATACCAGGTTTTTATTGTTGTTGCACTTGATAATGAAATATCGCGTCCGCTTGTCGTTGTCTGTTGGTACGGATTTTTGGAAGGGAATGTGATGCACGTTGATTTCAAGAAAGTGCCAATGAAGAGAAACACAGGTTAGACAATCACAAGAAACACGACACTGCTTACACAAGAACGAAGCAACAAATGAAAAGAAAGAAGAAGTAAAATACGCATTTTTCCCGGTGGCGGGCCCGTCGCGGGGGCTGGTGCTGCTGCAACGGCATCCGTACTCTTCAATGGCTCTGCTGGGACGTTTACCTGAGAGAAAGTGGTCAATATTGATTGCGAACAAAATGCGGTGGTAATTCGGGGTAACGAGTTGCAAGATGAAGATGAGAAGTTGACATGGGGGCTCAGTAGTTGCAGCGAAAATCATGAAGAACGCCAAGCGCCAGAACCGCCCGTGCTGCTTACTTCGCGTTTCCCCCATCGCCACCTGGTTGTCCTTCTAGTTGTACAAGGGTTTGATAATGGTACATGTAGTCCGTGGTCCAGTGTCTCCAACTGATGTTCATCTAGTAGATCGAATTTCAAGGTGAAGAAGATGGAAGATCATGAGCCAAAGAAAGACAAAATCATGCTTGATGAAGATGTGGTGGAGGTTCCTTTTGTTGGTGACTGAAAAGAGCTGCGCTTGATGCAAACCTTTCATTCAAAACTACATTGAAGAAATAACGGAGCGAGAGAGTAATGCTCAACTAAGGCTCAATGCTGGGGTAAGAAGGGATGATGTCGGCAACGCAAGACGTACATTTTACATCTCTGGGCAGAGGCTCACTAGATCCCGAGGACATTACATCGATCAGGCATGATGTTCATGTTTCTCAATGTCACAACGACCACTGATCTTTCTTTGGATCCACATCACAATAGAAGAGAAGATTACTGTCGCTCTACTTCAGATGAAACAGACACGCGAACTTCAGTCATCGTGTGTGTTCTTTCACGAAGGTGACGCGATTTCCTGAGGAGGATGAATGTCATCCCCGTTGGAGAACAACAGCTGCCACCCGTGTCCTGCTGTCCGCGGTACAGGATTACAGGTGTTACTGGAATTTATGTAGAAGATACTGAATACTCGCGCTCAAACCCTAAACAAAACCAGACACTGAATGTCTCTGACGACAGGTGGTCCTTGAGAGGGTCCTTTCTCAGAGCAGGTTGCACGTTATTGATAACGTGCTCTACTTAGAACAAAAACCTGAACTACCTCTACTCTACTAGAAAGTGATGTTGGTGGAGTAGCAACATCTACTACGTACTACTTTTGAGCAAACTAATTGTGATATTGAAACGATGCATAATATTGATATATATTTGTTAATTGCGTGGAACCGGAAGGCACAACTTTTACTTATCGATTTCGATACTTCGTCTTCGAAAAGCGAAAGTCACGCAACACGACGCACGCGAAGTAACACAACAGTGATACTAAAAAAATCAAATGCTGTCACGGTAGTTCGAAGGAAGTGCAGATCCTTCAGTAGTAGAAGTAGCACGTCTAGTCGTGCTATTTGTGTTGAAAAAGTCTCCAATTGGTGCTCTTTCTCATTGCTTGCGTCATCTGACTGATATCTTTCCGCTTGCTGCAGGTGCTAAAAGGTGGGCAATCTCTTTGAAGATGTTGTTGGTGTCGTGCGTATTATACCTACAACAGACTAATCATCATGAGCATGCATTTATCCTCAACCAATCTCAAAGACAAAAAAACAAATATGTTACTTAGCCTTAGTACAACCACGAAGAATTCTTACCGTGTCAGAGGCCTCCACGACTTTCCGAGGGCTCTCGTCACCCCACTCCTCCGGATTGTTTACTGCTGCGAAACCCAAATCCATCCTGCTGCTTGTGGCGTAAAAATGTCGGTGCGCTGCTCTACAAAAAATGTTTATATGATGTTGAAAGCGCGTACGCGTTATTAATATTCGTCGCTGATCAGTGCAGACTCTCTTGCTTCGCAGACGAGGTTCTCTTCACGCCTTTCCTCGGTACTGGCACGGCAACTCCAACGATATTAATATCAACTCCAGGGACTACATCTACAACCAAAAGCTGTTCTCTCTTCACCGAACTCTTCAGCACTTCGCAGAGGATTGATTCCTCGTCAAGTCCTTGTTAACACGAGGCTCCAAGTAGTGTGAACTGCCTCATCTGCGTAAAAAGTCTTGTTCAGGTAGAGGCTTCACTTTAAGCGTCCAATACAGCATAGCAGCTCAGACCCAGGTCTCGAAAGACAAGTAGCACATTTATGGAGAGTTACAGTTTTACCATGTTTTTGTTTGCGTGCAAAATCGAACACTCCTCCCTTAGAAATAAGATAGAGTCTTCATCAGTATTACTTATGGAAGAAACCCGAGCACAACAATGAAAATCAGGATGTTAACATTTGTGAAATCACTAGAAAAACTAAGAACAACAAGGAAAGCATCAATGGTAAAAAAGTACTACCACACAGCAACAGCAAGACTCACTGCGAAGATCATGGATGGATGGAGATGGATATTAGAAAAAGGAATTTCTATTTGTTGGGTCGGGAAAAAATAGGTGATCTTGCACGCTGCCTAGTCGTTGAAATTATTTGTTCTCTGAGTTCTCAATTACATGCTCATGGATTTGAGATTGAGTTTTTATCAACATTCATCGACCGCAAGAACGACTACAACAAGGTTCTTCTTTCTCAATGACGACTCTTTTCTATGTTTGACAACAACTCGTCAGGCTTGCCTGGACCTGATCTTTTTTTCACATCATGAGAACTTCTAGTTCATCAACAAGAGAATTGATTTGATCACTTGATTACCATGCAGCACTCAGTTGCTAGGATCTCTTGTTTTAGTCAAGATGACACGACGCAGATTCAATTTGAGAACACGCTCGTCTTGTTTGCGGCTGCAAATTAGCACTAGGAGACGAATAACAATTTGCATTCATCGAATTTGACTTTCGACTTCTCGACATTTTTGCCTGATCTCAGATGTCTTTTGTATTTCAAACCATAACAGGAAATAATTTCTAGTAGTCCACATCCGAAGAGAGAAATCTATCGGAAATTGACCATTAGAAAACAGATCGCAGAGTTGCAAGGAAAAGGGACCGACTGAGGAAAAAAGGTCAGTTGATGCTGTTCTTCGAGTTTGACACGTTCTCCCGATGGCGATGACTACCATGGTGGGCATGTTTGCGAGATGACGAGTGCCTTTTGTGGTGCATCTGTTCATCATGATCCTGCGTAGATGCTCTACCACCACGCTTGGGCCGCCTTTCTTTTTCACATTCAGCCTCAGGTCGCGAACTTTGGACGTCAGAAAAGGAAAGCCCATGCCCACCCGTATCCTCGGTAGCACCGTCCTCAACATGGTCTTCTTCTGCCAAAGTCTGGCGCTCTCGTTCATCATTATCTTGATCCCGACGGCCGCTTCCGCTCGTACTGTGTTTTGAATGATGACGGTGGTGACTGTGCTTCCTGTCAGTGCCACTTTCGCGTGTATCGTGCCCTCCTGCTTGTTGAGAAGAATCGTGATGCCCTGAACCTTTCGAAGAAGAATGATGCCGGTGTTGTGCATGTTTAATGCGAGAACCACGGGATGACAACACATGCTGTTCCTTTTGTTTCCTCAAATAAGACATCGAATCAGCATCGAGCAGCTGATCAAGCATGGAGCTCACATCCCGCGTTCGATCGTTAAAATTTCTCAACAAGGCGTTTGCGGCGGCATCTCCTTCCGGACGCATGTATGAGAAACGCTGCTGCTGATGCAAAATCGCATACGAGCCTGGTGGCCCAAAATGTTCGTCCGAAGGTGGTGTCAGATTCTTCAGCAGTTCTTCGTAAGACAGAGCGGGTTGTCTTGTTTTCGCGTGATGCTTCAACGTAGAGGTCGTGGTAGTATTCTGGCTTGTTGCTGATGTAGTTTTCGACCTTGATGTTGAAGTACTCGAGTTATGTTGACTGCCACTTCTGCGTCCACTCCCTCTACTAGAGTGCAGATGATGATGAGTCTTGTGAAGATGCCCTGCTTTGCTTCGACCTGTAGCCGGAGCAGCTGAAGAAGCGCCGTGCTTCACCTTCCCTTTACTCGACGTCTTGCTTGAAGATCTTGAAGACAATGGATCACGGTGAACAAATCCTCTTCCTCTCGTAGGAATCGGACCCCACAGGATCAAATCTGAGAGCAAAGAAGGACAGCCATGCAAAAGTCTGAAGAAAAGCAATAATGGAATCGGCTTCCCTCCTACGGCTTTGCGTAAACGGTATAGCAAAGGTAAGAGCCGCATCTGAAGATAGTGGTCGACGAGGGCTGTGATTGGCGTTTCCAGGTCGATTGAAAGTTGGGTAGCTTCTTGGAAGAAGACGCTCATCTCGCTCTGAAGATCGGCTTTCCTGGTTGTCAGGCTAGTATGGTGTCGACTGTGATGTCCATGTCGACTGTGATGCGCACGATGTCCACTGTGATGCACATGTCCACTGTGATGCGCATGATGGCCACTGTGATGCACATGTCCACTGTGATGCGCATGATGGCCACTGTGATGCGCACGATGTGCACTGTGATGCGCATGATGGCCACTAGGCCGTCCACTGTCATGCTTTTCGGAATGATGTTGATGGCCACTTTCCCTTTCTCCGTGCTTCGATTCATGATGCGTCTCCGTCGCTCCGTCATCTTCCTCTATCTCCGCTTGCTCATCAAGATGATGTTGTCCATTTTCCATGACTTCATGCAGACCCTTTGTCCACAGTTGTAGCGTGTAACGTGCGAAGCCTGATGGAGGTCGGAATGGCAGCTTCTTCGCTGCATAGTTTCCAACCAGGTTGTCCTCTTCCTCCTGCATCACTTTCGTCGCAGCACGAATGTCCAAAAGGATCCAATCTAGAATCGGTTTGTCTAGGACGGCTAGACACTCCAGTGCTCTGTACAGGTCCTCCAATCGACGAAGCTCTTTGCGCAAGGTGTGGTAGCCTAGGGATCTCACGGTCGCGACTTCTCTTGAGACACGTCGAAGGGCTCGAGTGAGGTACTTGCTGTTATGTTGATGATGTTGATAGTTCTCCTTACCGCGCCGATGATCGTCTCTTTGGACACGTGCTGCAGAAGCCAAAGTTTTGAACCACAGTGCACGCCTCGGTGAGTCGATGATCCCATTCCCTCTCAAAGACTTGATCTCAAAGGTGAGTTGTGGAGCTAGTTGTTCACAAATCTTGAAACTTTTCATTTTCTCTTCCTGTTCCTTGGCGACACGCTCAGCCTCAAGGTGCACCTGCGACTTCTTTGGTTGATTTTTACTGTTATTCCCTGTATCATGAGGCGGTGTCGGAGCAGGTTCAGCTGTTGTTTCAACCTTGCAAAGAGAAGCCAGCTGATCTCGGAACGAACCCTCTGTTGTTACAACAGTAGACGCATTTGCTTTACTTCTAACGTCATGAAACTCTATAGGGGCAGCTTCGTCGTAATGTTGAGGGCGGCCATCGCCATGATCTTCGAGTTTACTATTCTTGCTGCTGCTCGAGGACGCTTTTTTCTTGATGTGCTTCTTCTTCATGCTTTTGTTTCGCTGAGCATCCACCATGCGAACTAATGCGTTCAGCATGTCCGTCGTACCTTGCTGATGGAGTGAGGATGCCTCAATGCGTTTGATGTGTTCGTCTAGCGTTGTTTTCGCGTCCACCGAAAGGGAAGTGTCTTCATCAATCTCTTTTACACCAAGCATGCGAAGTGCCGCGACTTCTTCATCATCAGCAAGATTGGTAAGGGTCGCACCGAAAACGCCGGAAGCGTGAATCGAAGTACCAAACTCTTTCGTCTTCGTAATCGAGTCTTTCACGCCTTTTCCAAGGCAAGTAATGTCATCGTTCCGCTCGTCCAAGACCGCAGATAATCTGTCAGGATCCACCACTTTCAAAGCCTCAGCAGAAATCACACCTGCGAATGCCTCAACAGCAGAGCGAAATTCGTCGCTAGTGAGACCAGCAACACTGCATTCAGCAGACTGCAGCTGCTTAAAGAGCTTCTCCGTAGTTCTTTCGTTGTGAACTAATCCAAGGATCCGCAGACACTGGAAGTGGTGCCGCAAGTAGTAAAGAATTCTCTTTCTACTAGGAACAGGAAGATGTTGCTTCTTTATCTTTTTCCTCATCTTAGAAGTATGGTGATGAAGATGATCCATCTGCTTGAGTTTGTCACCACGAGCATGCACCTCTGTGTCAAGGTTTCCGTCGTCAGCCTGATCTCTTCTCGCAGCAATCGCAGCCAGAACAGGATCACCGAAGTCTAGGTTTTCAACGTAGTCCAAGCCAGCATTCAATTTTCCAACCACATTTCCTAATGTCGTCAACATGTGAATCTTTTCGGTTAAGTGATGTGCTTTTGAAGATGTCTTGTGGGTGTTACTCTGTCGCTGTGGTCCACCTCCTTCTGCTGTCAAATTTTGTGCTTCCTCTTGTGCCTCCCTATGCTCCGCAAACAATGCTGCTAGTTGGCCACGGCCCACTATTTCGAGAGCTCCTAAAACGTGGATTTGATCTTCTAACAAGCTTCTCGTCTTCTGAGTCGGCGATGAGAGCAATGCTGTGTGGTCGATTTTTTCTAAGCGCTTGAGTAAGCTTTCTCGTCCGCCCTCCGAGAGTTCCAGTTTGCGCCGAAGAGCGCTGAGAAGGTCTCCACGCGTCCGGATCTTCTTATCCTTCTTGGTAGCAACAGGAAGAGGAACAGGAGCAACGTCTAGAGTTGTTGTACAAGAAGATGTTGGCTGAGCAGACAGTTTTATTTGTGGTACAGCGCCAACTTCAAGCACCTCCTGTTTATCAGCAAGTTGCGCCAAATCCTCCAGATGTTCAGCAATCGCATTCTTGCGCTCTGTCGTCATTAGCTTCAATCTGTGCAGTGCAGCAGCCTGCCGCCTAATCTGCTCTGCTGCTGCTTCGAAAGACGACTTCTTAGTGGCAGAAACGTCAGGATCGCCGCGAGAAGAAGATGAAGCCTGTGGATCGGTCAAGACAGCCGTTCCTTCAGCAGCTAATGCTTTGCCTGACGTTACTTGAAGTACAACAGGCTTTTCCTCTTCGAGACCACTCTTGTTGCTAGGAGCCTTGAAGATCATGCTTCCACCTTTGAAGTCATGATCAAAATCCAAGTCCATTTCATCGGCGTCGAGTGCCAAGACTTTCTCCGCCGATAGTGATACTCCTGGTGCTTCCACGGGAGCTGCGCTGGCAGCAACAACAACTTCTGAACTGGGTGCTGCAGTTGCGTCTCCTTTCACCTTGTTCTCTTCGAATGATACAGTTTCAACAGCCTTGTCCTGAAGATTGCTGCTTTCGATGACCTTCTCTTTGTCTTCGTCCGCAACCATCTTGTCCTCTTTCTTAGTTTCGTCCTCCTCAACTACCTCGTCTTCCTCCTCCTCAACATCCCTCTCCACAACCTCGGCGAATCTGTCCACATCCGCAAGAAGAGCCTGAACAGCGCTCTGCAATCGCTGTAAAAAGTGAATCTCCTGCCTCAAAAACGCTTCCTCTGCATCGAAACGGGACAAAAGTAGTTCATGCATTTTCCGCACCTCGTGCAGGACTGTTGCTACTGACCGGGCGAAGTGACGCTCTTTGTGGTTGATTTTGACTAAGGGCTTTTGATCTTTGGTATGCTTCTCGTGGTGGCGGCGGTGTTTCTTGGACTGGTGATATTTTTGCTCTTCGTGCTTCTGATGACGCTTCATCTTGTCTTTCTTTCCTCGATGATGATGGTGGTGGTGACCACTTCCCTCTTCAACAGCAGCAGTGGCCTGTGCTTCTTCGGTCTCATCCTCCACCTGATTTGCTTCCTTCGGTTCTGCAGTTGTCCCCGCGTCAGTTGCACCTTCTTCTCCCAAGCCACCAAACAAAGCTGATACGATTCCCCATGACGCCGCTGCAAAACCAGTCGTGGACGAGGAAGGGTCTTCTTCAGAAGCAGCATTTTTCCAAGACTTTATCTCGTGATACTGTTGGATTTGAGTCACAACAGCAGAGTAGTCATCGTCGCTCGAATCAAGAATCATAGGAGAATCGCTAGCGCTAGTCGTGCTTGAAGCAGAAGAGGCGGCTGAAGACTTGCTTGAGAGAGCCGCATCTTCAGAAGTTTTGTTGTCCACATTGACTTCTGTGACTGTCGGACTTGTAACGCCCGACTGCTTTTCATTTTGAACATCCGCAAAAAGCCCAACTTCGGTCCCTTCCCCCACCAAACCGGATCTCTCCGCCCGCACCAAATCTATCCGCGCTCTCAAAAACGTCGGCAGATCTCGACACACCTCTGCGAAGTCACGACGGTCTGTTATCGCAAGTATGAATTTCTCCACTGCCGAGTCTAAACGGACGAAGGACTTCTCCACATCACTGATGACCTCAATCCGCATCTGAGCTCGATATGCTGCTACTGCTACATCTTGCAGAAGATTAAGATTGAGCTCGTGAGCCATTGCAGTAGAGATGCTGCCTTTGTCTATGAAATTCAGCTGATCGTCGAATATGGTATAAGGGTCGATGTGAAGGAGGTCGTCGACCGTTAGGATCTCTGGAGGTTCCCCTTCCCCTTCAGTGGTAGAGTTGATGTTCTTTTTTTGTACAACAGTACCTGTACCCTCTCCCTCTCCATCCACCGTCACCGGTTCAACAGGCAGATTCTTCAAGAGGTCCTTGAGCGGTAAGTGAAATGCGTTGATGTTTTCACGGTAACCTTTTTCCAGGATTGGTGGTGTAGAAGGTGAAGGTGGCACCTGCTCAGCATTTTCTTCTACTTCTTCATCTTTGCTGTAGATGTAGTTTCTTGCATCCTGCTCTTCATCCAATTCTGTCATTCTGATCAATTCCTTTTCGACGTCAATTGTTTTTCTCCTCGGTGCCTCCTCTGCTTGAGGTACTTCGGGCGGAGCTTCTACTTCTTCAACAGACAGAGGCGGTGGAGGCGCTTCCGCTTCGACCTCCGCTTTTTCCACAGCCAATGTACGAACCATAGGTGAAGCATTAGCGTAACCCCTAAAAACTTTGTGTCCATCTGCAGTTTCAGTAACAGCAGCTTCAAACAGTGGTAGGTCTGCTGGAGTTTCACCTACTCCC